AAGAAGTGTTCCTTTAGTGTTGCCGGTGCAAGACTAGAGTTGCTCAACTTGGCGTTGCAAATCATGCAGATAGGACGCTCACTCCCATCACGTTCCGTGATACATGAGAATCCATGTTGTACATATTCGTCCGACCACTTTCTTCTTTTGCCCGACATAGTTAGTATGGATAAAATATTAAAGAAATCACACGACGTACGACAAGTCACACGTTGACTACTGAGTACGCACTAAATTCCCCGCAGCGCTGATTGGCCAAGCAGTGTAGCATGATCATCTGCAGCCAGTGATGGCCAAGCGGGCCGTGTGTGTCATCACAAATTTACACAATAATTCAAGTGTGTCCGGACCTCCGTGGCGGGGGCTCTGCCGAACCCCTGAGATCGACTCACCGAACCCCTGGGGTTCGATCGAACCCAGGTTAAGAACCACTGATCTAGACCAACCAGTGCTAGATGAAGCTAGTGCGGGGCCTGCAACATATCTTATAAAGGGCCCCTAAATAAATAAATGCACGCAAATATTTAAACACAATTTTTTGTTTACTTGCACAGGCAATTGTATTTTTTCCATTTGCTATACAGCCAGATAGTACGACAAATCGAAAACCTTAAACACCCGGTGGTTCGTCAAAGTCGAAGGCGGTACAGTCCTACAGTAATAAAGCAAGTGCAGAATCACTGAACCGGAGTTGAAAGCACGGGGCCCGTAGTGTGTGTAGCTGCTTGTGTAGCTGCTTGTGGAGCTGCTTGTGTAGCTGCTTGTGTAGCTGCTTGTGTAGCTGCTACGATAATCCAGCACGGTGCCTCACGACACTCGCGATGTTCGTGGTGGGTCACTCGTCCAAGGGGCCGTCCATAAATGACGTCACGCGATTTTAGACCCCTCCCCCGTCAAATATGACGTCACAAAACTCTGCCCCGCTCCCCCCCCCCTCAAAACCATATTTCCATTTTGAAAATAAAACTCGCTTCAAAACCGCTTTAAACTATCGTCATTGTAAAGCGCGTATTTAATGTGGCGCTGCACTATCATGTCGTGGAAGCGCTGTTATAACAATCAGTGTTGCTATAACAATTCTATATTTATTTAAAGTTGCGCGTTCTGATGTGACGTCACGTTTCTCAAACACCCCCCCCCCATCCCCAGGTGCGTGACGTCATTGACGGACGGCCCCCAAGGGCCAATCGCGGGCCTCTCGACTCCGCTGAGCTGCCCACACGCCGACATCGTGGTCATCCAGCAGTGGAGCGATTACAACGGCGACGACTTGTTTGACCCCCATGCCCCCCCCCCCCCCCACCTTACTGGACATGTTACGTTAAGAGCTTTATAGCTCATCGGATTCCTCCTGTGGTGATAAATACACATCCCAATTCGATTTCCGACTCTGCAAGCGGGCAATTTGTGCGTCTGCCAGGATAGGCCGGGACGATACCATGATACGTGTTGAACATAGTGGCGACACGGACACTGCACCTCTTAAAAGCACGGATGTTTTGTGCAGTCGAGGGGACCCTTGTGTAGATAACAGTAATATCATCATCATCATTTACAGCACACAGATAATGTCTGTCCCACGTCCGTCGCAATGCGGACCTGGGACAAAGACAAAGACCCCCCCGCTCTCCCATGTAGCCTCAAAAACCTGTAGGGGCAAGTGCCGTTAACGAGCAGCACCTATTAAGGCCGGCACGGCACGCGAGGGTGTGGGTGGCCAGCATCGCGCCCGGCCGCCTTTGTCTCTCTAGTGCCGATGTTTACTACACACCGCACCGGGTACTCATTGGAGGCCGAGTCGACCTGGGGGAGAGGCCCAGGTACCGATTCAGATCATCGTCGCCGGTGTTGGCCGAGCGGGGAACCGAACTCGGGTCGCCGGGTTTGTAGAGCGGCGCCCTAACCCACTACACCACCGCTCCCACATACACGAAGACACAGGCAGTGACGTTAATATTATTATTTATTGTTACGCTTGTTTAGCCCTGGAAAGCCTCACCCGGAGTCTTGAGACTCTTTTCTTCGGGAGGCTCCTGCCAGGTTCTTCATGCAGTAGGGGTAGCGATGTCCCTGCTGCTGCTGCTACTGCTACCGTGTGATCCCAAGTGAGTGATATTTTCAGCACTGCGACGTTTTAGACCAATACAGAACCAGTTATATTGTATGTAGGGGGGGGGGGGAGATCACACAAACTCCACTCACTCACTGTCGAACAGGGGGAGATCACACAAACTCCACTCACTCACTCACTAGAACAGGGGGAGAACACACAAACTCCACTCACTCACTGTCGAACAGGGGGAGATCACACGAACTCCACTCACTCACTCTGTAGAACAGGAGTAGAGATCACACAAACTCCACTCACACTCACTCTGTAGAACAGGGGGAGATCACACAAACTCCACTCACTCACTCTGTAGAACAGGGGGAGATCACACAAACTCCACTCACTCACTCTGTAGAACAGGGGGAGATCACACAAACTCCACTCACTCTGTAGAACAGGGGGAGATCACACAAACTCCACACACTCACTCTGTAGAACAGGGGGAGATCACACAAACTCCACTCACTCACTCTGTAGAACAGGGGGAGATCACACAAACTCCACTCACTCTGTAGAACAGGGGGAGATCACACAAACTCCACTCACTCACTCTGTAGAACAGGGGGAGATCACACAAACTCCACTCACTCTGTAGAACAGGGGGAGATCACACAAACTCCACTCACTCTGTAGAACAGGAGTAGAGATCACACAAACTCCACTCACTCACTCTGTAGAACAGGAGTAGAACACACAAACTCCACTCACTCACTCTGTAGAACAGGGGGAGATCACACAAACTCCACTCACTCACTCTGTAGAACAGGGGGAGATCACACAAACTCAACTCACTCTGTAGAACAGGGGGAGATCACACAAACTCCACTCACTCACTCTGTAGCACAGGGGGAGATCACACAAACTCCACTCACTCTCTAGAACAGGAGTAGAGATCACACAAACTCCACTCACTCACTGTAGAACAGGAGTAGAGATCACACAAACTCCACTCACTCACTCTGTAGAACAGGGGGAGATCACACAAACTCCACTCACTCACTCTGTAGAACAGGGGGAGATCACACAAACTCCACTCACTCACTCTGTAGAACAGGAGTAGAACACACAAACTCCACTCACTCACTCTGTAGAACAGGGGGAGATCACACAAACTCCACTCACTCACTCTGTAGAACAGGGGGAGATCACACAAACTCCACTCACTCTGTAGAACAGGGGGAGATCACACAAACTCCACTCACTCTGTAGAACAGGAGTAGAGATCACACAAACTCCACTCACTCACTCTGTAGCACAGGGGGAGATCACACAAACTCCACTCACTCTGTAGAACAGGAGTAGAGATCACACAAACTCCACTCACTCACTGTAGAACAGGAGTAGAGATCACACAAACTCCACTCACTCACTCTGTAGAACAGGGGGAGATCACACAAACTCCACTCACTCTGTAGAACAGGGGGAGATCACACAAACTCCACTCACTCACTCTGTAGAACAGGAGTAGAACACACAAACTCCACTCACCTACTCTGTAGAACAGGGGGAGATCACACAAACTCCACTCACTCTGTAGAACAGGAGTAGAGATCACACAAACTCCATTCACTCACTCTGTAGAACAGGGGGAGATCACACAAACTCCACTCACTCTGTAGAACAGGAGAAGAGATCACACAAACTCCACTCACTCACTCTGTAGAACAGGGGGAGATCACACAAACTCCACTCACTCACTCTGTAGAACAGGGGGAGATCACACAAACTCCACTCACTCTGTAGAACAGGGGGAGATCACACAAACTCCACTCACTCACTCTGTAGAACAGGGGTAGAACACAAAGACTCCACTCACTCACTCTGTAGAACAGGGGGAGATAATACAAACTCCACTCACTCACTCTGTAGAACAAGGGGAGATCACACAAACTCCACTCATTCTGTAGAACAGGGGGAGATCATACAAACTCCACTCACTCTGTAGAACAGGGCTAGAACACACAAACTCCACTCACTCACTCTGTAGAACAGGGCTAGAACACACAAACTCCACTCACTCACTCTGTAGAACAGGGCTAGAACACACAAACTCCACTCACTCACTCTGTAGAACAGGGGGAGCTCACACAAACTCCACTCACTCACTCTGTAGCACAGGGGGAGATCACACAAACTCCACTCACTCACTCACTCTGTAGCACAGGGGGAAAATAACTTGACAAAGCATGCAAACAAACATGGCTTTGATAACATTTGCATCGTCCTTGACGCTGATTGGCCTAGAGCAGAGACGCCAGCCTTCACCATGGCCTCGTCTCACCACCCGTGTTAGAACCGAGAAGCCAAACGGTGAACGGAAACAAAGGCAATGCAAGAATCCGTGCACTTATATCTTGGGTCGAGCAGTTACATCTATGGGACCCTTTTTGCCAGGATCAAAATTGATGAAAAATCAAGATAGGTTTTACTTTATCTGGCAATAAAACAGGTGTTAAGATGCCCAAACACCAAAATAGGTTCCATTTTGCAACAACACACAAACTCCACGTATGAAGGCCGGCACGGTACACGAGGGGGTGGGTGGGTGGCCGGCACCACTCCCGGTCTCCTACATCTACTTTGTGGTGATGTTTACACACCGCACCGGGTACTCATTGAAGGCCGAGTCGACCTAGGGGAGAGGCCCAGGTACCGGTTCAGAGCATCGTCACTGGTGTTGGCGGTGAGCGGGAATCGAACTTGGTCCGCCAGGGTTACACAGCGCAGCGCTAACCGCTGCACCGCCGCTCCCCAATCCAACCCCAGACACACGCACCCATGCAGAATGGTCCCATCATCACCATCATCATCCACCTCTCCTCCATCTCCTCATGATCATCTTCATCGTCCACCTTCTCTACCTCCCTCCACCTCATCGTCATCGTCGTCTTCAGCGCCGGCGTTTGGAAACCTGGGCTCCCCGCGTGGCAGGCACGCTGGCGCGCTTACGTCCGCGCTGGTCCACGTCTCTGCCCCCATCGATGTCCGAGCTGTCCGCCTCGTCTCCCTGTCCCCGCAACGACAACACGTCCAGATATGTATACACACACACACACACACAGTCCCGCCACCCGACAAGAGCCAATCAAAAGTGTCGTCGAGTCTTGCTGTATACGGAAGTATTGGCGGTAGCCACACCGGTGGCAGCAGCACAACAACGGAGCGTGGTCCTGGTAGGACGGTCCTGACGGTGTCGCCGTTGCCCCTCGAGTGGAGCTGCAGGACTCTCCATCGCAAGCCGCGCTTAGAACCAGCGGCGGCCGCTTTCCCACTGGAACTTGGCGGCGGCTGCGGCGGCGGTGACACCAGCAGATCACGACTCACGGTGGCGGTGGCGGTGGTGCCGACGTCCGCCGAGAAACGATTCCGAAAAACGAATCGGGGAGGGAGGAACTGCGGCCTAAATCTAGGGCACGAGGAGCCAAACCTTGCCGCCTTTGGAACACGGAGCCAGCCAATCGCCATCAGGGCTGGGCGCTGCTATACGGCAAACAGACTGTGAAGATTCGTGCGTTTCAGCCAGCCGCTCGTATAACCGTTCCTCTTGCGACCGCTTCCACATCACGAGAACCGAATTTGACGCGCCACCACCACCACGACCACCACCCCCCACCCCCCCGCGAGATTTTCTTACCGGGAAAATAAATAATATCGCGCAAAAATGTGCTGTTTTTTCTTGGTCAACACCGTGCACCGCCGGTGAATCGCCGAATACGTTTACGTATAAATCCACAGCTGTCAATGCACACGCTTTACCCTGTATTCTTGTACAGGAACATTGAGTTTTCAGGTCCACTGGGCGTACATCCGTTTCAATACAGGTGATTGTAGTGGTGAGCATACTAGTGGTGAGTGTAGTAGTGGTGAGTGCAGTGGTGAGTGTAGTAGTGGTGAGTATACTAGTGGTGAGAGTACTAGTGGTGAGTGTAGTAGTGGTGAGTGTAGTCGTGGTGAGTGTAGTGGTGAGTGTACTAGTGGTGAGTGCAGTAGTAGTGAGTGTAGTGGTGAGTGTAGTAGTGGTGAGTGTAGTAGTAGTGGTGAGTGTAGTAGTAGTGAGTGTAGTAGTGGTGAGTGTAGTGGTGAATGTACTAGTGGTGAGTGTACTCGTGGTGAGTGTAGTAGTGGTGAGTGTAGTGGTGAATGTACTAGTGGTGAGTGTACTCGTGGTGAGTGTAGTAGTAGTGAGTGTAGTGGTGAGTGTAGTAGTGGTGAGTGTAGCAGCGGTGAGTGTACTAGTGAAGAGTGTGGTAGTGGTGAGTGTAGTAGTGGTGAGTGTAGTAAGTAGTGAGTGTAGTGGTGAGTGTAGTAGTGGTGAGTGTAGTAGTGGTGAGTATAGTGGTGAGTGTATAGTGTAGCAGTAGTGAGTGTAGTAGTGGCGAGTGTAGTGGTGAGTGTACTCGTGGTGAGTGTAGTAGTAGTGAGTGTAGTGGTGAGTGTAGTAGTGGTGAGTGTACTCGTGGTGAGTGTAGTAGTGGTGATTGTAGTAGTAGGGAGTGTGGTGGTGAGTGTACTCGTGGTGAGTGTAGTAGTGGTGAGTGTAGTAGTGATGAGTGTAGTAGTGGTGAGTGTAGTAGTGGTGAGTGTAGTAGTGGTGAGTGTAGTAGTGGTGAGTGTACTAGTGGTGAGTGTAGTGGTGAATGTACTAGTGTTGAGTGTACTCGTGGTGAGTGTAGTAGTGGTGAGTGTACTAGTGGTGAGTGTAGTAGTGGTGAGTGTAGTGGTGAATGTACTAGTGTTGAGTGTACTCGTGGTGAGTGTAGTAGTGGTGAGTGTAGCAGCGGTGAGTGTACTAGTGGTGAGTGTACTAGTGATGAGTGTAGTAGTGGTGAGTGTACTCGTGGTGAGTGTAGTAGTGGTGAGTGTAGTAGTGATGAGTGTAGTAGTGGTGAGTGTAGTAGTGGTGAGTGTAGTAGTGGTGAGTGTACTAGTGGTGAGTGTAGTGGTGAATGTACTAGTGTTGAGTGTACTCGTGGTGAGTGTAGTAGTGGTGAGTGTAGTAGTGGTGAGTGTAGTAGTAGTGAGTGTAGTAGTGAGTGTAGTGGTGAATGTACTAGTGGTGAGTGTACTAGTGGTGAGTGTAGTAGTGATGAGTGTAGTAGTGGTGAGTGTAGTAGCAGTGAGTGTACTAGTGGTGAGTGTAGTGGTGAGTGTAGTAGTGGTGAGTGTAGTAGTAGTGAGTGTTGTGGTGAGTGTAGTAGTGTTGAGTGTACTCGTGGTGAGTGTAGTAGTGGTGAGTGTAGTAGTGGTGAGTGTAGTAGTAGTGAGTGTAGTGGTGAGTGTAGTAGTGGTGAGTGTAGTGGTGAGTGTAGTAGTAGTGAGTGTAGTAGTAGTGAGTGTAATAGTGGTGAGTGTAGTAGTGGTGAGTGTAGTAGTGGTGAGTGTACTAGCGGTGAGTGTATAGTGTAGTAGTAGTGAGTGTAGTAGTAGTGAGTGTAGTAGTAGTGAGTGTAGTAGTAGTGAGTGTAGTAGTAGTGAGTGTAGTAGTAGTGAGTGTAGTAGTAGTGAGTGTAGTAGTGGTGAGTGTAGTAGTGGTGAGTGTAGTAGTGGTGAGTGTTGTGGTGAGTGTAGTAGTGGTGAGTGTAGTAGTAGTGAGTGTTGTGGTGAGTGTAGTAGTGGTGAGTGTAGTAGTAGTGAGTGTAGTGGTGAGTGTAGTAGTGGTGAGTGTAGTGGTGAGTGTAGTAGTGGTGAGTGTAGTGGTGAATGTACTAGTGTTGAGTGTAGTGGTGAGTGTAGTAGTGAGTGTAGTAGTGGTGAGTGTAGTAGTGGTGAGTGTAGTAGTGGCAAGTGTACTAGTGGTGAGTGTAGTAGTGGTGAGTGTAGTGGTGAATGTACTAGTGGTGAGTGTACTAGTGATGAGTGTAGTAGTGGTGAGTGTACTCGTGGTGAGTGTAGTAGTGGTGAGTGTAGTAGTGATGAGTGTAGTAGTGGTGAGTGTAGTAGTGGTGAGTGTAGTAGTGGTGAGTGTACTAGTGGTGAGTGTAGTGGTGAATGTACTAGTGTTGAGTGTACTCGTGGTGAGTGTAGTAGTGGTGAGTGTAGTAGTGGTGAGTGTAGTAGTAGTGAGTGTAGTAGTGAGTGTAGTGGTGAATGTACTAGTGGTGAGTGTACTAGTGGTGAGTGTAGTAGTGATGAGTGTAGTAGTGGTGAGTGTAGTAGCAGTGAGTGTACTAGTGGTGAGTGTAGTGGTGAGTGTAGTAGTGGTGAGTGTAGTAGTAGTGAGTGTTGTGGTGAGTGTAGTAGTGTTGAGTGTACTCGTGGTGAGTGTAGTAGTGGTGAGTGTAGTAGTGGTGAGTGTAGTAGTAGTGAGTGTAGTGGTGAGTGTAGTAGTGGTGAGTGTAGTGGTGAGTGTAGTAGTAGTGAGTGTAGTAGTAGTGAGTGTAGTAGTGGTGAGTGTAGTAGTGGTGAGTGTAGTAGTGGTGAGTGTACTAGCGGTGAGTGTATAGTGTAGTAGTAGTGAGTGTAGTAGTAGTGAGTGTAGTAGTAGTGAGTGTAGTAGTAGTGAGTGTAGTAGTAGTGAGTGTAGTAGTAGTGAGTGTAGTAGTAGTGAGTGTAGTAGTAGTGAGTGTAGTAGTGGTGAGTGTAGTAGTGGTGAGTGTTGTGGTGAGTGTAGTAGTGGTGAGTGTAGTAGTAGTGAGTGTTGTGGTGAGTGTAGTAGTGGTGAGTGTAGTAGTAGTGAGTGTAGTGGTGAGTGTAGTAGTGGTGAGTGTAGTGGTGAGTGTAGTAGTGGTGAGTGTAGTGGTGAATGTACTAGTGTTGAGTGTAGTGGTGAGTGTAGTAGTGAGTGTAGTAGTGGTGAGTGTAGTAGTGGTGAGTGTAGTAGTGGCAAGTGTACTAGTGGTGAGTGTAGTAGTGGTGAGTGTAGTAGTGGTGAGTGTAGTAGTGGTGAGTGTACTAGCGGTGAGTGTATAGTGTAGTGTATAGGATCCACGTTGAGATTTATAAGGGCACGGGGCGACCAATAGTGTCTGAATTGGTCTTCAATAGTGGGCGCCGTGCGTGTTAAGCGGAACCGCGTCCAAGCGACACCACGTGGCGTGAACGGTGCGGTTGGACCGCTGGTGGACGGTGGCGAGTTGTGGCTCTCACCTGGCTGCTGTTGAGGCGGTGAGCGTCAATGTCGAGTCTCTGCCTGAGCACGCCGGAGAGGATGAGCTCTGCGCTCACGACGTCAACGCCGGGACACCCGCGCAGACGCGCCGAGTCCTCGGCGCACGACACCACGACCACTCCGGCCTGGTGCGGGGTGCGTGCAACGTGCACGGGTTACACACACACACGCACATGGGTACACACACACACACGCACACCGGTACACACACACACACGCACACGGGTACACGCACACACGCGTGCGGGTACACGCAGATGCGCGCGCGGGTACAGGCACACACACGGGTACACGCACACACGGGTACACGCACACGCACACACGGGTACACGCACACGGGTACACACACACACGCACGGGTACACACACACTCCCACGGGTACACACACACACACACGCACGGGTACACACACACACGCGCACGGGTACACACACACACGCGGGTACACACACACACACGCGGGTACACACACACACACACGCACACGGGTACACACACACACAGGTACACACACACGCACGTGTACACACACACACGCACACGGGTACACACACATTGGTACACACACGCACGCACACGGGTACATACACACACGCACGGGTACACACACACGCACGGGTACACACACACACGCACACAGGTACACACACACACGGATACACACATGCACACGGGTACACACACACACGCACACGGGTACACACACACACACACACGAGTACACACACATGTACACAAGTACACACACACACGTGCGTGCGGGTACACGCAGACGCGCGTGCGGGTACACGCACACACACGGGTACACACACACACACGGGTACACACACACACACGGGTACACACACACACACGCACGGGTACACACACACACGGGTACACACACACACACGGGTACACACACACACGGGTACACACACACACGCACGCTGCTGCTGTACCTGTGCAGTGCGAGGCACTTTGGGTAGCCAGGTGGCCCCGCCGCACTCCACGATGTCGCGCATGTGGACCGGCTCCGGCTTCACTCCGGCCGTCACGTGCACGCGGAAGCCCTGCAGGCACAAGCCGGGCAGGCCAGTACAGTGGTGAGCTCAATACAAGCCGGGCAGGCCAGTACATACAGGGAGCCTCTACACCACTATCAGTGTAGAGTGGTGAGCTCAATACAAGCTGGGCAGGCCAGTACATACAGGGAGCCTCTACACCACTATCAGTGTAGAGTGGTGAGCTCAATACAAGCCGGGCAGGCCAGTACACACAGGGAGCCTCTACACCACTATCAGTGTAGAGTGGTGAGCTCAATACAAGCTGGGCAGGCCAGTACATACAGGGAGCCTCTACACCACTATCAGTGTAGAGTGGTGAGCTCAATACAAGCTGGGCAGGCCAGTATGTGTGCACGTGTGTGCACGTGTATGTACGTGCGTGTGAGTGTGTGTACGTGTAAGTGTGTGTGTACGTGTGTATGTGTGTGTGTGCGGTTTCAGGAAAGGGCGGTCCTGCACAGATGCCATATTTTCTGTCCGTCTGCTACAGCAGAGGTGTAGGGAATTCCAACAAGACCTACATCTCTGCTTTATTGACCTGGTCAAGGCCTATGATACCATCAGTAGGCCTGGGCTCTGGGTCGTTCTTCGTGCTTTTGGAGTACCAGACCCTCTGCTCACGATCATTAAGGACCTTCATGATGGTGAGCGGGCCCGGGTAAAACTACGTGGCCGGGAGTCAGAGCCATTCCCTGTACACCTTGGGGTGCGACAGGGATGTCCTCTGGCTCCCACATTATTTAACATCTATTTTGACCACGTAGTTCGTGAAGCCTTCAATAGCTGTACCGGGGGAATCTCCATATGGTACAGATATAATGGGAGGCTAATCGATGCCCGGGTGCGGTCAAGGGATGGCTCCCTATTGCTCAACCACGTTATGTATGCTGATGACTTGGTAATAGCTGCTCAGTCAGAGGAGGAGTTGGAGACGCTGCTGCTGAGACTGGAGCGTGCCACTAAGAGGTGGGGCCTTACCATCAGCCCCACCAAAACTAAGCACCTGCCTGGGTATTTTGTACCATCGGACACTCCACCCCCAAAACTCCCAATCGGTGATGGGGCAGTTGTGGAGAGAGTGGAGAGTTTCCCATACCTGGGCAGTGTGCTTATGACTGGCTCCAGTTTAACAGCAGAGGTCTCACTCCGAATCAGTCGAGCAGCAATATCTTTTCATCGGTTGCGTAACGCTGTGTGGAAGCTACCTGGTCTGTCGCTCCGCACTAAGCTTCAGGTCTTCTCGGCCACGGTCATTCCCTCCCTTCTCTACGCTTGCGAAACGTGGACCCCCCTAATGGAACATCTTCGCCGGTTAGAAACATTTAGGCTGACCTGCCTACGATCCATCCTGGGTTTAACCAGACTGGATTGTGTGAGGAGCTCACAAATCCTTGAAAGATCTGGGCAGGGTCCCATCGGTGAGCTCCTCCGGCAGGCAAGGCTGCGATGGCTGGGTCATGTAGCCCGCATGCCCAGCCACCGCATGCCGAAACAGCTTTTGTTTGGCCGGATTGAGGGGGCTAAGCGGGCGCGGCACGGGCTAGAGAAGAGATGGAGTGATGTGGTACAGGAGGACGTGGAGCTGAGTGGACTTGCCGATGACTGGTACCAGCGGTGTCAAGATCGGCCTCTGTGGAGGAGGCTCGTGAAGGATGCTACTGGGCAGTTGGAGGCAGTCGCCCTCCAACAACAACGGAGGGCGGAGGAGCGACGCTCACAACAGCGAGCGGAGCGCCGGGTGGCTAAAGCACAGCAGGTTGGCACAGTAGGGGGCACAGGTGGTGCATCAGCCAGTCATCTCAGTCAGTCGACCCGTGGCACCTGGGTCTGCCCCGTGACCTCCTGCCAGCGGGCGTTCGACACTTCACGTGGCCTCAGGGTGCACATAGCCTGGCACAAGCGTCGTGGTGACGTCACCGCCACTTAGTGGCGAATGGCGGTTGTTGTTGTTGTAAGCGTGCGCGTGTGTGCGTGTAAGCATGCGTGTGTGTGTGTAAGCGTGTGTGCGTGTACGTGTGTGCGTGTAAGCGTGCGTGTGTGTACGTGTGTCTACGTGTAAGCGTGCGTGTGTGTACATGCGTGTGTGCGTGTAAGCGTGTGTGTGTGTGCGTGTGTACGTGTGTGTATGTGTGTCGACGTGTGTGCGTGTGTGTACGTGTGTGTAAGCGACATCATAACAACAGTCTGGACCACTGGACGGGTTCCGCAGGATTGGAAGGATGCCCTGGTGGTCCCCCTTTTTAAGAAAAGGGACCGCACAGACTGTAACAACTACAGGGGCATCTCACTCCTCAGTGTGCCGGGAAAGGTCCTGGCAAGGATTATTCAGCATCGCCTTGCCAGGCACGCTGAGGAGAGGCTTGCGGAGCCCCAATGCGGTTTCAGGAAAGGGCGGTCCTGCACAGATGCCATATTTTCTGTCCGTCTGCTACAGCAGAGGTGTAGGAAATTCCAACAAGACCTACATCTCTGCTTTATTGACCTGGTCAAGGCCTATGATACCATCAGTAGGCCTGGGCTCTGGGTCGCTCTTCGTGCTTTTGGAGTACCTGACCCTCTGCTCACGATCATTAAGGACCTTCATGATGGTGAGCGGGCCCGGGTAAAACTACGTGGCCGGGAGTCAGAGCCATTCCCTGTACACCTTGGGGTGCGACAGGGATGTCCTCTGGCTCCCACATTATTTAACATCTATTTTGACCACGTAGTTCGTGAAGCCTTCAATAGCTGTACCGGGGGAATCTCCATATGGTACAGATATAATGGGAGGCTAATCGATGCCCGGGTGCGGTCAAGGGATGGCTCCCTATTGCTCAACCACGTTATGTATGCTGATGATTTGGTAATAGCTGCTCAGTCAGAGGAGGAGTTGGAGACGCTGCTGCTGAGACTGGAGCGTGCCACTAAGAGGTGGGGCCTTACCATCAGCCCCACCAAAACTAAGCACCTGCCTGGGTATTTTGTACCATCGGACACTCCACCCCCACAACTCCCAATCGGTGATGGGGCAGTTGTGGAGAGAGTGGAGAGTTTCCCATACCTGGGCAGTGTGCTTATGACTGGCTCCAGTTTAACAGCAGAGGTCTCACTCCGAATCAGTCGAGCGGCAATGTCTTTTCATCGGTTGCGTAGCGCTGTGTGGAAGCTGCCTGGTCTGTCGCTCCGCACTAAGCTTCAGGTCTTCTCGGCCACGGTCATTCCCTCCCTTCTCTACGCTTGCGAAACGTGGACCCCCCTAATGGAACATCTTTGCCGGTTAGAAACATTTAGGCTGGCCTGCCTACGATCCATCCTGGGTTTAACCAGACTGGATTGTGTGAGGAGCTCACAAATCCTTGAAAGATCTGGGCAGGGTCCCATCGGTGAGCTCCTCCGGCAGGCAAGGCTGCGATGGCTGGGTCATGTAGCCCGCATGCCCAGCCACCGCATGCCGAAACAGCTTTTGTTTGGCCGGATTGAGGGGGCTAAGCGGGCGCGGCACGGGCTAGAGAAGAGATGGAGTGATGTGGTACAGGAGGACGTGGAGCTGAGTGGACTTGCCGATGACTGGTACCAGCGGTGTCAAGATCGGCCTCTGTGGAGGAGGCTCGTGAAGGATGCTACTGGGCAGTTGGAGGCAGTCGCCCTCCAACAACAACGGAGGGCGGAGGAGCGACGCTCACAACAACGAGCGGAGCGCCGGGTGGCTAAAGCACAGCAGGTTGGCACAGTAGGGGGCACAGGTGGTGCATCAGCCAGTCGTCTCAGTCAGTCGACCCGTGGCACCTGGGTCTGCCCAGTGACCTCCTGCCAGCGGGCGTTCGACACTTCACGTGGCCTCAGGGTGCACATAGCCTGGCACAAGCGTCGTGGTGACGTCACCGCCACTTAGTGGCGAATGGCGGTTGTTGTTGTTGTGTATGTGTGTGTATGCGTGTGTACGTGTGTGTACGTGTGTGTGTACGTGTGTGTGCGTGCGTGCGTGCGTCACCCACGTGGAACAGCGGCCTCTCTCTCGCCGCAGCGAGAGACTCTCTGAGCCGGAAGTCAAACTTGGCCTCTTGCTCCTCGTCGCTCACGATGAACGTGTCGCTGTCCACCACGCGGCCACTCTGCTCACACTGACAACGACAGAGGTCCCCTGTGTAGCCGTTAACATAACTTTTGGGGCATGAGCTGTTAGCGAGTTGGAGCACCTTTGAAGACCGGCACGGAACGTGAGGGGGAGATCACACAAACTCCACTCACTCTGTAGAACAGGGGGAGATCACACAAACTCCACTCACTCACTCTGTAGAACAGGGGGAGATCACACAAACTCCACTCACTCACTCTGTAGAACAGGGGGAGATCACACAAACTCCACTCACTCACTCTGTAGAACAGGGGGAGATCACACAAACTCCACTCACTCTGTAGAACAGGAGTAGAGATCACACAAACTCCACTCACTCACTGTAGAACAGGAGTAGAGATCACACAAACTCCACTCACACTCACTCTGTAGAACAGGGGGAGATCATACAAACTCCACTCACTCACTCTGTAGAACAGGGGGAGATCATACAAACTCCACTCACTCTGTAGAACAGGGGGAGATCACACAAACTCCACTCACTCACTCTGTAGAACAGGGGGAGATCACACAAACTCCACTCACTCACTCTGTAGAACAGGGGGAGATCACACAAACTCCACTCACACTCACTCTGTAGAACAGGGGGAGATCACACAAACTCCACTCACTCTCACTCTGTAGAACAGGGGGAGACCACACAAACTCCACACACTCACTCTGTAGAACAGGGGGAGATCATACAAACTCCACTCACTCGCTCGGTAGAACAGGAGTAGAACACACAAACTCCACTCACTCTCACTCTGTAGAACAGGGGGAGACCACACAAACTCCACTCACTCACTCTGTAGAACAGGGGGAGACCACACAAACTCCACTCACTCACTCTATAGAACAGGGGGAGATCACACAAACTCCACTCACTCGCTCTGTAGAACAGGAGTAGAACACACAAACTCCACTCACTCTCACTCTGTAGAACAGGGGGAGATCACACAAACTCCACTCACTCTCACTCTGTAGAACAGGGGGAGACCACACAAACTCCACACACTCACTCTGTAGAACAGGGGGAGATCACACAAACTCCACTCACTCACTCTGTAGAACAGGGGGAGATCACACAAACTCCACTCACTCACTCTGTAGAACAAGGGGAGATCATACAAACTCCACTCACTCTCACTCTGTAGAAGAGGGGAAGATCATACAAACTGGACTCACTCACTCTGTAGAACAGGGGGAGATCACACAAACTCCACTCACTCTCACTCTGTAGAACAGGGGGAGATCACACAAACTCCACTCACACTCACTCTGTAGAACAGGGGGAGATCACACAAACTCCACTCACTCACTCTATAGAACAGGGGGAGATCACACAAACTCTACTCACTCTTACTCTGTGGAACAGTGGGAGATCACACAAACTCCACTCACTCACTCTGTAGAACAGGGGGAGATCATACAAACTCCACTCACTCTCACTCTGTAGAACAGGGGGAGATCATACAAACTCGACTCACTCACTCTGTAGAACAGGGGGAGATCACACAAACTCCACTCACTCTCACTCCGTAGAACAGGAGTAGAACACACAAACTCCACTCACTCTGTAGAACAGGGGGAGATCACACAAACTCCACTCACTCTCACTCTGTAGAACAGGGGGAGACCACACAAACTCCACACACTCACTCTGTAGAACAGGGGGAGATCACACAAACTCCACTCACTCACTCTGTAGAACAGGGGGAGATCACACAAACTCCACTCACTCACTCTGTAGAACAGGGGGAGATCACACAAACTCCACTCACTCACTCTATAGAACAGGGGGAGATCACACAAACTCTACTCACTCTTACTCTGTGGAACAGTGGGAGATCACACAAACTCCACTCACTCACTCTGTAGAACAGGGGGAGATCATACAAACTCCACTCACTCTCACTCTGTAGAACAGGGGGAGATCATACAAACTCGACTCACTCACTCTGTAGAACAGGGGGAGATCACACAAACTCCACTCACTCTCACTCTGTAGAACAGGGGGAGATCACACAAACTCCACTCACACTCACTCTGTAGAACAGGGGGAGATCACACAAACTCCACTCACTCACTCTATAGAACAGGGGGAGATCACACAAACTCTACTCACTCTCACTCTGTGGAACAGTGGGAAATCACACAAACTCCACTCACTCACTCTGTAGAACAGGGGGAGATCATACAAACTCCACTCACTCACTCTGTAGAACAGGGGGAGATCATACAAACTCCACTCACTCACTCTGTAGAACAGGGGGAGATCACACAAACTCCACTCACTCACTCACTCTATAAAACAGGGGGAGATCACACAAACTCCACTCACTCTTACTCTGTGGAACAGGGGGAGATCACACAAACTCCACTCACTCTGTAGAACAGGGGGAGATCACACAAACTCCACTCACTCTTACTCTGTGGAACAGTGGGAGATCACACAAACTCCACTCACTCACTCTATAGAACAGGGGGAGATCACACAAACTCCACTCACTCTCACTCTGTAGAACAGGGGGAGACCACACAAACTCCACACACTCACTCTGTAGAACAGGGGGAGATCACACAAACTCCACTCACTCACTCTGTAGAACAGGGGGAGATCACACAAACTCCACTCACTCACTCTGTAGAACAAGGGGAGATCATACAAACTCCACTCACTCTCACTCTGTAGAAGAGGGGAAGATCATACAAACTGGACTCACTCACTCTGTAGAACAGGGGGAGATCACACAAACTCCACTCACTCTCACTCTGTAGAACAGGGGGAGATCACACAAACTCCACTCACACTCACTCTGTAGAACAGGGGGAGATCACACAAACTCCACTCACTCACTCTATAGAACAGGGGGAGATCACACAAACTCTACTCACTCTTACTCTGTGGAACAGTGGGAGATCACACAAACTCCACTCACTCACTCTGTAGAACAGGGGGAGATCATACAAACTCCACTCACTCTCACTCTGTAGAACAGGGGGAGATCATACAAACTCGACTCACTCACTCTGTAGAACAGGGGGAGATCACACAAACTCCACTCACTCTCACTCCGTAGAACAGGAGTAGAACACACAAACTCCACTCACTCTGTAGAACAGGGGGAGATCACACAAACTCCACTCACTCTCACTCTGTAGAACAGGGGGAGACCACACAAACTCCACACACTCACTCTGTAGAACAGGGGGAGATCACACAAACTCCACTCACTCACTCTGTAGAACAGGGGGAGATCACACAAACTCCACTCACTCACTCTGTAGAACAGGGGGAGATCACACAAACTCCACTCACTCACTCTATAGAACAGGGGGAGATCACACAAACTCTACTCACTCTTACTCTGTGGAACAGTGGGAGATCACACAAACTCCACTCACTCACTCTGTAGAACAGGGGGAGATCATACAAACTCCACTCACTCTCACTCTGTAGAACAGGGGGAGATCATACAAACTCGACTCACTCACTCTGTAGAACAGGGGGAGATCACACAAACTCCACTCACTCTCACTCTGTAGAACAGGGGGAGATCACACAAACTCCACTCACACTCACTCTGTAGAACAGGGGGAGATCACACAAACTCCACTCACTCACTCTATAGAACAGGGGGAGATCACACAAACTCTACTCACTCTCACTCTGTGGAACAGTGGGAAATCACACAAACTCCACTCACTCACTCTGTAGAACAGGGGGAGATCATACAAACTCCACTCACTCACTCTGTAGAACAGGGGGAGATCATACAAACTCCACTCACTCACTCTGTAGAACAGGGGGAGATCACACAAACTCCACTCACTCACTCACTCTATAAAACAGGGGGAGATCACACAAACTCCACTCACTCTTACTCTGTGGAACAGGGGGAGATCACACAAACTCCACTCACTCTGTAGAACAGGGGGAGATCACACAAACTCCACTCACTCACTCTGTAGAACAGGGGGAGATCACACAAACTCCACTCACTCACTCTATAGAACAGGGGGAGATCACACAAACTCCACTCACTCTTACTCTGTGGAACAGTGGGAGATCACACAAACTCCACTCACTCACTCTATAGAACAGGGGGAGATCACACAAACTCCACTCACTCTATAGAACAGGGGGAGATCACACAAACTCCACTCACTCTTACTCTGTGGAACAGTGGGAGATCACACAAACTCCACTCACTCACTCTATAGAACAGGGGGAGATCACACAAACTCTACTCACTCTTACTCTGTGGAACAGTGGGAGATCACACAAACTCCACTCACTCACTCTATAGAACAGGGGGAGATCACACAAACTCTACTCACTCTTACTCTGTAGAACAGGGGGAGATCACACAAACTCCACTCACTCTTACTCTGTGGAACAGTGGGAGATTACACAAACTCCACTCACTCACTCTGTAGAACAGGGGGAGATCACACAAACTCCACTCACTCTTACTCTGTGGAACAGTGGGAGATCACACAAACTCCACTCACTCACTCTGTAGAACAGGGGGAGATCACACAAACTCCACTCACTCACTCTGTAGAACAGGGGGAGATCACACAAACTCCACTCACTCTTACTCTGTGGAACAGTGGGAGATCACACAAACTCCACTCACTCACTCTGTAGAACAGGGGGAGATCACACAAACTCCACTCACTCACTCTGTAGAACAGGGGGAGATCATACAAACTCCACTCACTCACTCTGTAGAACAGGGGGAGATCAGACAAACTCCACTCACTCACTGTGTAGAACAGGGGGATAATCATACAAACTCTACTCACTCTTACTCTGTGGAACAGTGGGAGATCACACTAACTCCACTCACTCACTGTGTAGAACAGGGGGAGATCACACAAACTCCACTCACTCACTGTGTAGAACAGGGGGAGATCACACAAACTCCACTCACTCACTCTGTAGAACAGGGGGAGATCATACAAACTCCACTCACTCACTCTGTAGAACAGGGGGAGATCACACAAACTCCACTCACTCACTGTGTAGAACAGGGGGATAATCATACAAACTCTACTCACTCTTACTCTGTGGAACAGTGGGAGATCACACTAACTCCACTCACTCACTGTGTAGAACAGGGGGAGATCACACAAACTCCACTCACTCACTGTGTAGAACAGGGGGAGATCACACAAACTCCACTCACTCACTCTGTAGAACAGGGGGAGATCATACAAACTCCACTCACTCACTCTGTAGAACAGGGGGAGATCACACAAACTCCACTCACTCACTGTGTAGAACAGGGGGATAATCATACAAACTCTACTCACTCTTACTCTGTGGAACAGTGGGAGATCACACTAACTCCACTCACTCACTGTGTAGAACAGGGGGAGATCACACAAACTCCACTCACTCACTGTGTAGAACAGGGGGAGATCACACAAACTCCACTCACACTCACTCTGTAGAACAGGGGGATAATCACACAAACTCCACTCACTCTTACTCTGTGGAACAGTGGGAGATCACACAAACTCCACAGAAAGACGCCCCAGTAAGGTAATGAAACCCAGGCGCCTTCCCTTCCTGCTGCGAGGCGCAGGAAGAAGGGGGCCCTAGCGTCACCAACGCGCTGCTACCACCCCGGCACCTGCTGGATCCAGGCCGGCGTGACGACGGGCACGCCTCTGGCGACGGCGCACAGCATCTTGACGGTGCGGCACACGCGGTCGGTGACGAGGTGGGAGCAGTCGCGCGCGCTGGCGCTCACGGCCCAGCCCAGCGTCCGCACACGCTGCTCCAGCGCCTCCAGCTCCGCCACTCCCGTGAACGCTACCTGCCGCCGGTACGCGCGGAGAGGTGGGTTACACACGCGGGTACGCACGTGCACACGTGGGTACAAACGGAGAGGTACGTACACACGCGGGTACGCAGTGCACACGTGGGTACAAACGGAGAGGTACGTACACACGCGGGTACGCAGTGCACACGTGGGTACAAACGGAGAGGTACGTACACACGTGGGTACGCAGTGCACACGTGGGTACAAACGGAGAGGTACGTACACACGCGGGTACGCAGTGCACACGCGGGTAAGTAGTGCACGCGTGGGTACAAACGGAGAGGTACGTGCACACGCGGGTACGCAGTGCACACGTGGGTACAAACGGAGAGGTACGTACACGCGCGGGTACAAATGGAGAATTCCGTACACAGAGATACAACAACCACAGCTGCCGTTCGCCGCTAGGTGACGGCGACATCACCACGGTGGCCGTGCCAGACTAGGTGCACTCAGAGACCACGCCAAGTGTCGAAGGTTCGCTGCTGGCAGGAGATCACGCTACAGACCCCAGGTGCCGCGGGTCGACTGACTGAGATGAGTGGCCGACGCACCACCTGTGCCCCCCTTGCGAGCTTGGTGCGTTTTAACCGCACTGCGCTCCGCTCGTCGTTGCGAGTGTCGCTCGTCCGCGCTACGCTGTCGTTGGGGTGCGATACATACACAGAGAGAGATCAATAGGGATACAGTCATACCGCGGTGTATAGGACCGCTTTGGAATACGCCGAATTCGGTACACGTCGTGTTTTGGCGAGACGAAAATGTCTTGGGATACGAGGCGCTTGCTAGAACTCGTATGGGTCGTGGTGAGTCGTCGCGATCCCGCGTGGACCCCGTTCACGACTGAAACAAAGTGCTGCTCCTCAGCCTCCTCCTCCTCCTCCTCCCCCCCCCCCTTCCTCACCGCCATCCTCGCAGGCCGTCAACTCCTCTCGGCAAAGTAAAGCGACGTTACATTCGATTTCTATTTCAATTCATTCATGCAGTTATTTTAATTTATGTTTGCATTCTAGTCTAAATTATGTTATACAACCGCATTAATGTGTAATATGCCATATAGAATATGATTTCTTATACTCTGGAACGGATTATTTCCTTTCAATTATTTCTTATGGGAAAAATGCGTTTGGTAGACGTCATTTTCGGTATAAGTCCTACACCTTCTGGAACGAATTAACGACGTTTCAGTTTTATTAATTTGGTATAGCCCTGTGAGCCATTCGGCTCTTGAATCGGGTGCAACCGCAACAAACAAAAAAACAAAAACATGAACAAGAAAACATCTTAAAGTGACTATGTGTGACTGTGCAAACAGAAAATCCAGGAAAAAACGGCAAAATATTCCTGAAAAAAGCACCGTACACCAACGCTGCAACAGATATGCACGTACAGAGGGATACAAAAACAAAGATGCCCCTTCGTAGCCTGAACAGACTTTTGGGAGCAAGTGCTGTTAGCGAGCACCTATGAAGGCCGGCACAGCGCACGAGGAGGTGGGTGGCCAGCACCACGCCCGGCCGCCTTTGTCTCCCCAGTGGTGATGCTTACTATACACCCCACTAAAAGTTTAGTTTAAGTTTTCAAACTTTTTAGTTTTCAAACTTTTTAGTTTTACCAGGTAAGGCCCAGTGAGCTATGTAGCTCTTTTTCAGAAGCGACCCGGTCACAAATAACAGCTCAACGAAGCGGCTTATCACGTGGACATTTAGAGCAGCCAGATAGACGGGTGAACGCACCCGTGAACAAATCCTCTTTACGCATGCTTCGGAAATGTGGGGGAGGGGAAAACCGGAAAACCCGGAGAAAAATCCACGCCACCCAGGGGAGAGAGACACGGACACTCCAAATATACAGCAGGTGTCAGGGTCGTGATCGAACCCACGACCTCCTGTATACCTGGTGAGGGAGTTAACATCTCCTAGCCACCGTGATGATGATGATGAGAGAGAGAGACACAGACTCCAAATATACAGCAGCAGGTGTCAGGATCGGGATCGAACCCACGAGAGCCTGCATACCAGGCGAGGTAGTCAACATCTCCTATCCATCTCACCACCGTGGCGCCGCCTCACACGCTCACTCACTCACACGCTCACACACACACCGAGTGAATTGGACTGTTGCACACCCAGCAAGCCAGTGCACAAAGCGAGTCTCACCTCCGATTAGCACAGCTGGTTACGTGCAGTGCGACAAGAACTTCGACACACATTTGTACAAACATACGAGCCTCCGCACATTCCACGCTCGCGCGGGGAGAATCTCACCTTGGGAACGTCTCCCCTGGGATTGCGGGCAGACCGCGGCGTTCCTCGCCCTCCTGTAATTCCCGGCGTTCCCGGCGTTCCCGGCGTTCCCGAGTTTCCCGATGCCGCTCGCCCCTGCGGCGTTCCTCTCCTCTCCGGAATTTCCGGCGTTCCCAAAACTCCCGATGGGCCTCCTCGCCCCTGCGGCGTTCCCGGTGCGTCGGTGGTTTGCGACGTTCCTGATGCTGCTGATGTTCCCGATTTTCGGGAATTCCGACGGGATTTCTGCGGCGCTGTCAACTGCTCCGTGGCCCCACGTCTCTTCCGGGTGGACAGCGTGAGGGGGGGCTGTGTGGGGTGGGGGGGAGAAAGGGTGGGGAGGGGGGGGGGGGCTTAGGTGGGATGTTGTTGACTGTACTAGTTTAATGATGCAACTTGGGACTAATGACTGTTGTGTACCATCAGTACTAATCCAACTTAGGACTAAGTATTGTTGTGTACCGTCAGTTCTAATCCACTTGGTACTAAGTACTGTTGTGTACCGTCAGTACCAATCCAACCTGGGACTAAATACTGTTGTGTACCGTCAGTACTAATCCAACCTGGGACTAAGTAATGTTGTGTACCGTCAGTACTAATCCAATCGGGGACTAATGACTGTTGTGTACCATCAGTACTAATCCAACCTGGGACTAAATACTGTTGTGTACCGTCAGTACCAATCCAACCTGGGACTAAGTACTTTTGTGTACCGTCAGTACCAATCCAACCTGGGACTAAGTATTGTTGTGTACCGTCAGTACTAATCCAATCGGGGACTAATGACTGTTGTGTACCATCAGTACCAATCCAACTTGGGACTAAGTACTGTTGTGTACCGTCAGTACTAATCCAACTTGGTACTAAGTACTGTTGTGTACCGTCAGTACTAATCCACTTGGTACTAAGTACTGTTGTGTACCGTCAGTACTAATCCAACTTGGTACTAAGTACTGTTGTGAACCATCAGTACTAATCCAACCTGGGACTAATTACTGTTGTGAACCATCAGTACCAATCCAACCTGGGACTAATGACTGTTGTGTACCGTCAGTACTAATCCAACCTGGGACTAATTACTGTTGTGTACCGTCAGTACTAATCCACTTGGTACTAAGTACTGTTGTGTACCGTCAGTACTAATCCAACCTGGGACTAATTACTGTTGTGAACCGTCAGTACTAATCCAACTTGGTACTAAGTACTGTTGTGTACCGTCAGTACTAATCCAACTTGGTACTAATGACTGTTGTGTACCGTCAGTACGAATCCAACCTGGGACTAAGTACTGTTGTGTACCGTCAGTACTAATCCAACCTGAGACTAAGTACTGTTGTGTACCGTCAGTACTAATCCACTTGGTACTAAGTACTGTTGTGTACCGTCAGTACTAATCCAACCTGGGACTAAGTACTGTTGTGTACCGTCAGTACTAATCCAACCTGGGACTAATTACTGTTGTGTACCGTCAGTACTAATCCACTTGGTACTAAGTACTGTTGTGTACCGTCAGTACTAATCCACTTGGTACTAAGTACTGTTGTGTACCGTCAGTACTAATCCACTTGGTACTAAGTACTGTTGTGTACCGTCAGTACTAATCCAACCTGGGACTAAGTACTGTTGTGAACCGTCAGTACTAATCCACTTGGTACTAAGTACTGTTGTGTACCGTCAGTACTAATCCAACCTGGGACTAGGTACTGTTGTGTACCGTCAGTACTAATCCACTTGGTACTAAGTACTGTTGTGTACCGTCAGTACTAATCCAACCTGGTACTAAGTACTGTTGTGTACCGTCAGTACTAATCCAACCTGGGACTAAGTATTTTTGTGTACCGTCAGTACTAATCCAACCTGGGACTAATTACTGTTGTGTACCGTCAGTACTAATCCAACCTGGGACTAAGTACTGTTGTGTACCGTCAGTACTAATCCACTTGGTACTAAGTACTGTTGTGAACCGTCAGTACCAATCCACTTGGTACTAAGTACTGTTGTGTACCATCAGTACTAATCCAACCTGGTACTAAGTACTGTTGTGAACCGTCAGTACTAATCCAACTTGGTACTAAGTACTGTTGTGTACCGTCAGTACTAATCCAACTTGGGACTAAGTATTGTTGTGCACCGTCAGTACTAATCCAACCTGGGACTAAGTACTGTTGTGAACCGTCAGTACTAATCCAACTTGGGACTAAGTATTGTTGTGTACCGTCAGTACTAATCCACTTGGTACTAAGTACTGTTGTGCACTGTCAGTACTAATCCAACCTGTTACTAAGTACTGTTGTGAACCGTCAGTACTAATCCAACCTGGGACTAAGTACTGTTGTGAACCGTCAGTACTAATCCACTTGGTACTAAGTACTGTTGTGTACCGTCAGTACTAATCCAACCTGGGACTAGGTACTGTTGTGTACCGTCAGTACTAATCCACTTGGTACTAAGTACTGTTGTGTACCGTCAGTACTAATCCAACTTGGGACTAAGTATTGTTGTGCACCATCAGTACTAATCCAACCTGGGACCAATTACTGTTGTGTACAGTCAGTACTAATCCAACCTGGGACTAAGTACTGTTGTGTACCGTCAGTACTAATCCAACTTGGGACTAAGTACTGTTGTGTACCGTCAGTACTAATCCACTTGGTACTAAGTACTGTTGTGTACCGTCAGTACTAATCCAACCTGGTATTAAGTACTGTTGTGCACCGTCAGTACTAATCCAACCTGGGACTAAGTACTGTTGTGTACCGTCAGTACTAATCCAACCTGGGACTAGGTACTGTTGTGTACCGTCAGTACTAATCCACTTGGGACTAATTACTGTTGTGAACCGTCAGTACTAATCCAACTTGGTACTAAGTACTGTTGTGTACCGTCAGTACTAATCCAACTTGGGACTAAGTACTGTTGTGTACCGTCAGTACTAATCCAACCTGGGACTAAGTACTGTTGTGTACCGTCAGTACTAATCCAACTTGGGACTAATGACTGTTGTGTACAGTCAGTACTAATCCAACCTGGGACTAATTACTGTTGTGTACCGTCAGTACTAATCCAACTTGGTACTAAGTACTGTTGTGTACCGTCAGTACTAATCCAACCTGGTATTAAGTACTGTTGTGCACCGTCAGTACTAATCCAACCTGGGACTAAGTACTGTTATGTACCGTCAGTACTAATCCAACCTGGGACTAGGTACTGTTGTGTACCGTCAGTACTAATCCACTTGGGACTAATTACTGTTGTGAACCGTCAGTACTAATCCAACTTGGTACTAAGTACTGTTGTGTACCGTCAGTACTAATCCAACCTGGGACTAAGTACTGTTGTGTACCGTCAGTACTAATCCAACCTGGGACTAAGTACTGTTGTGTACCGTCAGTACTAATCCAACTTGGGACTAATGACTGTTGTGTACAGTCAGTACTAATCCAACCTGGGACTAATTACTGTTGTGTACCGTCAGTACTAATCCAACTTGGTACTAAGTACTGTTGTGTACCGTCAGTACTAATCCAACCTGGTATTAAGTACTGTTGTGCACCGTCAGTACTAATCCAACCTGGGACTAAGTACTGTTATGTACCGTCAGTACTAATCCAACCTGGGACTAGGTACTGTTGTGTACCGTCAGTACTAATCCACTTGGGACTAATTACTGTTGTGAACCGTCAGTACTAATCCAACTTGGTACTAAGTACTGTTGTGTACCGTCAGTACTAATCCAACTTGGGACTAAGTATTGTTGTGCACCGTCAGTACTAATCCAACCTGGGACTAAGTACTGTTGTGTACCGTCAGTACTAATCCAACTTGGGACTAAGTATTTTTGTGTACCGTCAGTACTAATCCAACTTGGGACTAAATACTGTTGTGAACCGTCAGTACTAATCCAACTTGGGACTAATTACTGTTGTGCACCGTCAGTACTGATTCCACTTACTATCGTCGCACCTCCCGCACCATCGCCAGCGTCTCCATCATCACTGGCAGCAGTAGCAGCGGCGGCGGCGGCAACATCACTGCTACCCTCTTCCTGCCCCGCGGCATTGTGGGAGGCAGCCAAGGGGGGCGGCACCTCCTGCGGGGCCACCTGCTGTTGCTGTGGGCGACCACGCCGCCTCCGCCGGGCTTCCTCCTGTGGTGCGGTTCCCCCGTCCCCACCGCTCTCCGCATCTTGTGACAGGGAGATCGTAAAAACAGATCTTAGACTTGATTCACAAGTGATCTTTTGGGATGGGGGTGGGGGGGAGTTAAGCCACTCCGTGACGATCCGGTGATGTTTGAGAACCCTCCACCGCCCAAGTGGCTGAGTGGGTGAGTAGGTGAGTCAGTGGGTGAGTGATTGAGTGGCTGAGTGGGTGTGTGGGTGATTGAGTGGGTGGGTGGGTGAGTGGGTACGTGAGTGAGTGGTTGGGTGAGTGGGTGAGTGAGTGGGTGAGTGAGTGGATGCATGAGTGGGTAAATGAGTGAGTGAGTGGGTGGTTAAGTGGGTGAGTAAGTGGGTGGGTGAGTGGGTGAGTGAGTGGGTGAGTAAGTGAGTGAGTGAATGGGTGAGTGGGTGGGTGAGTGGGTGAGCGATTGAGTGGGTAGGTCAGTGAGTGAGCTGAAACAATCATAATCGCCACGTCTTTAAACGCTTGCCCACCGCGTTACGGTTTCATTTGATTGGTGGAGGGCGTCCCGACAAAAAAAATCTGGCAAGCTCGTCACTTTATGCGGCCCAACCCTGCAATAAATCGACTACGAACCATAACATGAGCTCAGAATACCCATTCTGTGTTAATCTCTTGTCTCACCAACTATTATCTACACCAGGGACGCCGCCGTGGTGATGCTCCTGGAAACAACAACGATGATGACGACGACGACGGGACTCACTTGTTTCTACTCCCTTTGTCTCGTCCGCACCTCCACCACCGCTATCCACCGCCTCCTCCACCGCCTCCTCCGCCACCTCCTCCGCCACCTCCTCCGCCGCCTCCTCCGCCGCCTCCTCCGCCACCTCCTCCGCCACCTCCTCCGCCACCTCCTCCGCCCGTGCTCGTCCCCTGCCCCGTGTGCCACCCCCCGCCCCCCGCTGTCGCCGCTGCTGCCCTTCCACCACCTCGGCCGACCCTCGATGACCGCCGCTGACCCCCTGACCTCTGGGATCGTCCGGACAGACGACGAGGTGGACCTCCTCACCCCGCGCCAGCGCGGCACTCGTCTCGTCTTCCCCGCCGTCATCGCCGCCGTCATCGCCGCCGCCATCGCCGCCGCCGGCCCGCGTCGTCCTCCTCCTCCTCCTCTGTGGCGTCGCCGCGCCCTTCACCCGGCCTCGAGCCCTCCCTTGGGCCACCTTACTGGTCGGTGGAGTGGCCGCCGCCGCCGCCGCTTCGCTTCCCGTCCCGGGGGCGACGCTTCCCGAGCGCACGGCATCGCCGACGCCGCTTCCCGTTGCTGTGACATCACTTCCTCCCGCAGCGACGGCGCTTTCTGCCCGGCCAGCACTTGGTTTCGAGGACGCGCCGCGTCCTGTCCGGGCGACGCCGCCGCTGCCAGCGCTGCCGCCGTTTGTTCCCGTCCCGGCGCCGCTGCTTCCCGTGTCGACGGCGTCGCTGCGAGCGTCTGCGGCGTCACCTCCTGTCGCGGCGGCGCTGCTCCGCGGATTTCTACCACGCCGCACGTTGCCTCGGGCCTTGGCGACGTCACTTCCTGTCCTGTCGTCGCTTGGGGCTTTGGCGACGTCACTTCCTGTTCTGCCGTCGCTTGGGGCTCTGGCGACGTCACTTCCTGTCCTGTCGTCGCTTGCGGCTTTGGCGACGTCACTTCCTGTCCTGTCGTCGCTTGCGGCTTTGGCGACGTCACTTCCTGTCCTGTCGTCGCGTGGGGCTTTGGCGACGTCACTTCCTGTCCTGTCGTCGCGTGGGGCTTTGGCGACGTCACTTCCTGTCCTGTCGTCGCGTGGGGCTTTGGCGACGTCACTTCCTGTCCTGTCGTCGCTTGGGGTTCTGGCGACGTCACTTCCTGTCCTGTCGTCGCGTGGGGCTTTGGCGACGTCACTTCCTGTCCTGTCGTCGCTTGGGGCTCTGGCGACGTCACTTCCTGTCCTGTCGTCGCTTGGGGCTTTGGCGACGTCACTTCCTGTCCTGTCGTCGCGTGGGGCTTTGGCGACGTCACTTCCTGTCCTGTCGTCGCTTGGGGCTCTGGCGACGTCACTTCCTGCCCCTCCGCTTGACTCGACCGCCACTGTCGCCGATGTTGCCGTCGCTGCTTTCTGCTTGGCTCGGGTTTTCCGATCCATGCTGCTGGATATGGGGACATCCTGTAAAACAAAAAAGCATAAATCCTGCTATCTGCCATCCTCTTATCCGCTAATTTAACAATTGGCCAATCCCCTTATCCGCTATCCTATCTACTGCCCTATCCTCATCCGCCATTCAACTTATTTCTATACAATTTTCCTCTTTTAGCCTTTATAATATATAGGAGGTCGTGGGTTAGATCCCGAGCTTGACGCCTGCTGCTGTATAATTGGAGTTTGCGTCTCTCTCTCCCCGCGGTCGCTCACTCACCTCCACCACCCGTCCACCCTGCTCTGTGGCGTCATCCTCTGAACTCGCGACCTTTGACCTCCCGGCAGCTGTCCTCCTTTGGCCAATCCCACGAGTGCTGGGCGAGGGGTGACCTGGGGATGGCAAAGACAAAGATGACCAGTGTGGCCTACACAGGTTGCTGTGGCAAGTGCTGTTAGCGAGCAGCTACGAAGGGGTGGTGTGGTCAGAAAAACGCCCGGCCGCTCTTTGTCTTCCCAGTGCTGATGTCTCATACATTGGCACCATTTAAGGCTGAGACAACCGAGAGGAGTCTCAGGACCGGTGAAGAAATTTGGCACCGGAGTCGAATTTGGGTCGCCGGGTTTGTAGCGTGGCACACCAACCACTGCACCACCGCTACCCCCACCCCGAATACAAACAGATACAAAGATCCCCAGTACAGCCTTAACAGACTGCAGGCCCAAGTGCTGTTAGCGAGCAGCAGCAGCACCTGTGAAGGCTGGCACTGTGGCACGCGAGGAGGTGGGTGGCCAACACCGTGCCCGGCCGCCTTTGTCCCCAAGTGACGATGATTCCACACTGCACCAGGTACTCATTTGAGGCTGAGTCGACACACAGAGGCACAGATACAAAGATCCCCAGTACAGCCTTAACAGACTGTAGGAGCAAGTGCTGTTTGCGAGCACATAAACGGCCGGCACGGCACACGAGGGGGTGGGTGGCCAGCGACCACGCCCAGCCGCCTTCGTCTCCCTATTGGCGATGTTTACACATCGCACCAGGTACTCATTTGAGGCTGAGTCGACCTAGGGGAGGTCCAGGACCGGTTCAGATAATCGTCACTGATGTTTGCCTTAAACGGGAATCGAATCCGGGTCACCAGGTTCGTAGCGCAGCGTGGAGCTAACCACTACACTACCGCTCCACCACTACCGCTCCCCACAGAGGCACACAGACAGACTTACAGATAATCCGCCCGCGATACATACACCCACCTGTCTTAACGTCCCTTTGGATCGATGTTTCAGCCAGAGGTTCAACGGTTCCAGCAGCGTCCACATGAGCACCTTCCTCCATCTCCTCCCCGTCGTCTCGACTTTTCGTCAAATCCTCCGGACGCCCGGAACCCCTCCTCACCATGGCCAGACGCTTAACCACCGCTGTCAAATTCCGCCGGCGTCTCGACCTTGGCGGTTCTGGTTGTGTTTCCGGTTCTGGCGGCGGAGCGGCCGTGACGCCCCTCTTGGCGGTCGCGGACTTGCTGCCGCCCAGTCCCGCGCGCGGAGTCCTGGCGGAACGGCGTGGCGTATTTCTCCCCGCGGGCGTCGAAGGCTCGGCCGACGATTCACCGTCGGCGCCGCCGCCGCCGCCATCGTCGTCACCGCCACCGGCGCCGCCGCCGAGTCTCGCTTCCTCGGCGTCTCCCGAGCGCTCGCCCTCTCCCGGCGGAGCGGCGTCTCCATCCTCCGCCGACCGCTCCCTCCCGAGTTTCTTCGAACTTTCCGGACATTCCGTGCGGCGCTCTCGCGTTTCTTCTCCATCCTCCGTCGGCGGACCTCCGCCATCTCTCGCCTCAACCGGCGCCGGCGCCGCCGCCGCCGCCGCCGCCGCCACCGCCGCCGGCTGTCTCTCTCCCGTCGACGTCTTTCCGACCTTCTTCAGGGTTTCCGGGCAATCAAGTTGGGCGGCTCGGGCGGCCTCCTCAACCCCTGCTGTCAGCTCGTCGCGCCCCCTGCCCTCGACCGGAGCCACCGAAGTCTCCGACCCGAACGAGTCACCTTTAGCCTTCGCCGAGGGCTTTCCAGGTTTCCTCGGAGTTTCCGTGCGCCTGGCGTCAGGGTGCCGCGTGTCCGCCCCGACCGCCGTCGACGGGACGTCGGAATTCCCCTTCGCCTCTCCGGAGGCCGCCGCCGCCGCCGTTTCCAAGTCGTTCCGCTTCCTTGCCGACTTCCTTCCGGGTCTCTTCGAAGTTCCCGGGCGTTCGACCTCGGGCCGTCGAGTCTCTTCCTCGACAACCACCGCTGACAACCCTCCACGCGCTCCGCTCGTCGCAGGGCCCTCCGCCGTTTCGCGCTCCCGCGGGCCGTCTCTCTTGCCCGACAACTTCCCTCCAGGGCGTCCTCCTCGCTTCGAAGACGGCGGGCTCCCTGGTTGCAATGATTCGGCCGTCTTCTCCGCTGGCGGCACCGCTTCTCCGCTGCCCGCAGCAGGAGTCGGCGGAACGGCGGTTTGCGGCAGCAGGGAGGCACCCTGCCTCTCGGTCGACTTCTCTCGAGCGTCGCCGGTTTCCGTCGACGCTGCTGCCGACGCGCGTCGTGGACCGAGCGAAGCGGCGTCCATCTCCGTGGACGCGCCCTCGCGCCCGCGATCTCCCCCGGCGGTCGACGAGCACTCGGCTGCGGTGCTTGGCAGAGAATCTTCCTTCTCAGCGGCAATCTTTTCACCGTCTCCATCATGCTTTGGATCTTCCGCTGACCTTTCCGTTTTCAGGGATGGCGTTTCGCCCGTGGTTTCCGCCGGCACTCCTCCTCCTACCCCGGCTTCTCCTCCCCCCTCTGAACTTTCCGCGGGGGGGACTGTCGACTGCCCGGTGTCGGAGCGGAGCGGCTCGTCACCTCCCGTCAGCTCACTTTCACGCTTCTCCGACTCGGCGTCCAAGTCTATCGTCTCGTCGTCATCAGAGCTCACGGTCTCAGCACCCTCGGGATTTTCCGTGGTCGAGGCCGAGTTCCCGCCTTCCGCATTCATCAAACCGTCACCTGCAGCCGACTCCTCCTCTCCGCGGTCTCTCTTCTCCGCCAGCGCCGCCGCGCCGTCTCGATCGTCTCTCAGATTCGCCGGGCCACCAGAATCTCCGCCCGGCGACCCGCCACCTTCGGCCTCCTCCGTCGACGGCTTGCCGACGTCTCCCGCTTCCTTCAAAGCGCGCGAGAGTTCACCCTGCGGACCGAGAGTCTCATCCGCGGCCTCCACCGGCGCCTCTCCGCCCACCTCCTCCTCGGCGTCCTCTCTCCCGGCGCCGCCCCCTACGCCTCGGCCGCCCCTCGCCCCCAAAGGCGGCACCTCCACCGAGACTTCCGCCGTCGACCTCCGGCTTTTGGACAGGCGCCCTCTGCTCGCTCGGCGCCCCCCCGCCGACGCCGTCGCCACCTCCCCACCGCCGCTGGCGCCCGGCGAAATCTCGCGGTCGTTACCGACGCCGAATAACCGCTCCACCGGCTGCGTGGGCTCGCTGTCGTCAAACGGGCAGGCGCCGGTGGCAGGAGACATGGCAGCTGTTGCTTGCCGTTTGTTGCCGGCGTACTGCTCCATCGGCTGTGTCTCGTCGAGGGACGATGATGATGACGGTGATGTTCTTGATGCCACTGGCAGTGCTGATGATGTTGATCGTGGTGATGCTGATGATGGCGGTGGATGGGATGGGGAGTCTGGATGGGTTTTGTGGGTGGGAACGTTGGTAGGCAGTGTAAGGGTGGTGGATATCGTTCCACAATGGGTGTATGTGTGCGTGTGTGAATGTGTATGTTGAGGTGTGTGTGTGTGTTTACGTGTGTGTGTGTTTACGTATGTGTGTGTTAGTATGTTGGGGTGTGTGTGTGTGGAGGCACAGATAGGGCATTAGTTGCTGAAATTTAAGTTTGAGAGTTTATAAGAGACACCCAGACCCAGGGCTCGAACCCAGGTTCTCAACGGTTCTGGGTGAGCATCTCGAACATGGCCATTATAAATCGAACACCGACATTATGAATCGAACACGGCCATTGTGAACCTGACATAGCCATGATGAACCCCCTAAGGATGTCACGATGGCAAGATGTTAACTTCAATCCCGAACCTGACGCCTGCTGTCTATTTGGAGTTTGCATGTTCTCCCCGTGGTCACGGGGATTTTTCTCCGGGTCCTCCGGTTTTTCCCTTCCCATTTGGCTACTGTAAATGTATACGTGGTAATCCACTTAATTGCGCTATCATTTGTGGCCAGATCGCTTCTGAAAAAGAGCTATATAGCTCAGTGGGCCCTTACCTGGTAAAATAAAAGTAGTTTAGTTTTTAGTTCGGCTAAGACACCCAGACGCAGTGTTTCGAGAATTCAACAGTGCAGGCTCAGCAATATTCTGGACACGGCCATTATGAACCCCCAACAACAACAAAAACCGCTATTCGCCACTAAGTAGTGATGTCACCACAGCTCTTGTGCCAGGCTATATGCACTTTAAGGCCATGTGAAATGTCGAACGCCCGCTGGCAGGTCACGGGACTGACCCAGGTGCCACGGGTCGACTGACTGAGATGACTGGCCGATGCACCACCTGCGCCCCCTACTGTGCCAACCTGCTGTATTTTATCCACCCGGCGCTCCGCTCGTTGTTGTGAGCATCTCTCCTCTGCCCTCCGCTGTTGCTGGAGGGCGACTGCCTCCATCTGCCAAGTAGCAGCGTCCTTCACGGGCCTCCTCCACAGACAGAGAGACAAACACCATCGAGTTTGTCCATGTACCTGTGCCGCAGGGCTGCGTGGAAGAGTCTGAAGAGTTGGGAAAGAGGGAGCACCAATGACTTTGCCTGGGATATACGTACGCCTGCGTCTCCACCTGCAACAAAGACAAAGATCCCCCGTGTAGCCTTAACAGACCGTTGGGCCAAGTGCGGTTAGTGAGCAGCAGCAGCTATGAAGGCTGCCGGCACTGCGGCACACGAGGGGGTGGGTGGCCAGCACCACGCCCGGCCGTCTTTGTCTCCCCAGTGGCGATGTTTACCACACACCGCTCCAGGTACAGCAAAACCTTCGATTGCGAGCATAACTCGTTCCAGAAACGTGTTTTTGTAATCCAAAGCACTCGTATATCAGTTGTGATCACGTGACGCTCAGCAGACAAAGCGTGTACACGTACACTACTCGTATTGCAGGACCCTCGCTCGTTTATCAAATTAATATTTATTTAACATTTTTTGCTCGTCTTGCAAAACACTCGCAGACCAAGTTACTCGCAATCCAAGGTTTTACTGTACTCATTTGACGCCAAGTCGACCTAGGGGAGGCCCAGGACCGGTTAAGATAATCATCACCGAATGTTGGCCGTGAGTGGGAATTTGACTCGAGTCACTGGGTTCGTAGCACTAACCGCTACGCTTGCAACACACACACACACATGTACGCATCAGCCACAGCAACCGCAGCACCAGCAGCAGACAAATGCCAACAATAATAATCCACAATACAGGTTTTTTGGGTTAGATCACGTAAATATAAATGTGTCGTTAAACCCGCCACCACCCAACTGGTAAGGTTTGTCACGTAAACAAATCGTGCCAATTACTTACTGGTTCAGCACGCCGGAGAGTAAAACCCACCCACTAACAACATTTACAATTCCAGTGCCGTGACGTTTTGCAACCGGCATCATCAGGCGGTGCAGCCAGAGTTGTAGAGAAATCCTCCGGCTTCGGTTTTAAATAGAGGAATAAATGCGATGTCGTCACATCTCACTGCTCTCCTCTCTACTCATTGGTTCTTTCGGTAAAGTCATCACGTAGGTATAAAATAAAATAAATCACGGCGTTTCGGGCGCACACACAAGCGTCCGTCATCAGTTGGGAAAGCGTGGCCTGCTGCTGAGGCTGGCTGTAGCTCGAGGGTTATAAAGAAGTGGCCGGGGCTAGTGATGTAAATGTGAGAAATCAGCGTGTTACTGTAAGATAGAAGAGCAGCCTCCTCTCGTTCAACAACTTCACTGGCTTCCTGTCCATCTTTTTAACTCCTCACTCTAATATTCAAAGCTTTGCACGGTCGTGCCCCACCCTAACTCTCTTCTCCCATTCATTTATGTCCCTTCACGCTCCCTTCGATCTCAATATTCCCATCTTCTCACTGTTCCATCACCTCCTGGCGCCCAGTCTCGCTTCCGTTATATCTCTCTTCTTGCCCTGTGGAACAAACTCCCACTTCACGTCAGACTGTCACCCTCGCCTTTCCACCTTCCGCTCGGCCCTCAGCTCCTTTCTCTTCTCGACTGCTTTTTCTCTTCCACTGCCTTCCACCCCGACCGGTTTCCTTGCCCGCCTCTAACTCACGCCCAGGCCCACCCTAATTCCTGACCCGGCTCCCACGTCTCACTTTCGATGTGGACCGAACCATATCTCTCCCCCAAGCCCTGCACTGTTCTCCTCCATCGGCTCAACTGTCCGGCCACCACACCCCATGCCCATTTCAACCACTTCACGCACGTGCCCCGTACCCCACTGCCTCTCATCCAGGCCGCACCCATCAGACATCCTCGCTCGCCATCACGTTCCACCTTAGTCTGCCTTACCTACCCCAGCAACATCAGCTCCATTCCCAGCCCCTGTCCCTCCATCCACTCCGTCACCTTCCTCACCGAACGCCGTCGAATTACATCTCAAAGCGCCCTAACAAAGGGCACTCTATAAATCCGGAATAGAATAGAAGGATGATGATTATTTAAACTTGCAAATCGACTCAAACTTCAAATCGTATCCCGCCACAGTTACTCGTTTGCTCTCGCAGAGAGACAGAAAACGACTCGGGGAGGCGCGAGGAAGAACCGCGGGCAAGCGGGACGACAGCCACGCGGTGAAGAGCCGGCGCTACCACCAACTGCCCCAAACTCCGCGGTCGTCTATACGCTGACGTGCTACCGGCCAACAAGCGAGCGCTTACACGCGGGAGGAAGCCACAGCGCGGGGGGGAAGGGGGGGACCGCTCCATCCCGTACAAGATGTAACGGGGTGGGAGTCCACGCTTTTGCTGTACCGCCTTTCTCCTGCTGAGCCAGCGCAAGCCTCCTCCTCGAGGCCCACGGGTAGAAGGGAGTTCCCGCGCCCGTCCGTGTGGTGAACCACCAACCCTCGCTGCCCCTCCGTAGCACCGGATTACACGCGGGCGCCACCAATCATTGCCTGTGCCAGGCTGGGTGCACTCTCGGGGCTGTGGCGAGATGTTAACTGCCACGCCTGGTATGGAGGAGGTCGTGGGTCAGATCCCAACCCTGGCACCTATATATTTGGAATTTGTGGTGTCTCTCTCTCTCTCTCCCCGTGATCTCGTGCATTTTTCTCCGGGTCCTCCGGTTTTCCCCGCCACATTTAGAATCAGCACCACGCGTTTAGAGTATTTGGCTGCTACAAATTTCCACGGGATGATAAGCCGCTTCGTCGAGCGATCATTTGTGGCCAGGCCGCTTCTGATAAAAAGAGCTACGTAGCTCAGTGGGGGTCCTTACAACTGGTAAAATAAAAATATTAAAAATAGGTGGAATGGTGAAAGGGTCACTTTACATTTCGATTTAAAGCTTTCGTGACTGCAGGGAATCATCTTCTTTGGTTCTTTCGGTAAAGTCACCACGTAGAATGAGAATAAAATAAAAAAACAATAAAATTCTCACGACGTTTCGGCCACAACACAAGCGGCCTTCTTCAGGTGAAAGAACAGAACTGTCGGGACGCCAGTGCTTCAAAGCACTTATTTATTTGATTTATTTTATTCTCATTCTACGTGACTTTACCGAAAGAACCCAAGAAGATGAAAGGGTCACTGTTAGATCATAGGACAGACCCAGGTGACTGGCAGATGCACCAACACCACCGCTGACCGTGACAGCTCGCATACATGCACATGCAAGATGAAGACCCACCAATGTAGCTTACTGAAGCTACCGGGGCGAGCGCTGTTAGCGAGCAGCACCTACTAAGTCCAGCACACAGCGCAACAAGTGGGTGGGTGGGTGGCCAACGCCAGGCCCGGCCGCCTTTGTCTCCCCGAGTGGCGATGACGCACACACACCTCATCGATGCAGGGGAACTGCTGAGTCGGCATGTCTAAGAGGCTCTGTGGGGAGAGCTCCCGGTGAAGCACTGCCCCCAATTCTGCTTCTAGCCCTGTCTCCACTCCAGCTCCCGGCTGGCGGGTCCATCCACCTGAAGCAACAGAACAACCACACAGAGTGACGTCGTGCGAGTGAGTGGTCAGCGCGCTGTGCTACGAATCCGATTCCTGCTCACGGGAGATTATCTGAACCGGTCCTGCGGCTTCCCTAGGTCGACTCAGCCTCAAATTAGTACCTGGTGGGGGGTGTAAACATCACCACTGGGGAGAATTTGAACTCGGGACGCTGGGTACGAGCGCAGCAAGCTGTTGTACGCACTCATTCAACACTTTACAAACTCCACTCACTCACACTTACTCTGTAGACAAGGGGGAGATCATACAAACTCCACTCACTCACACTCACTCTGTAGACCAGGGGGAGATCATACAAACTCCACTCACTCACACTCACTCTGTAGAACAGGGGGAGATCACACAAACTCCACTCACTCTGTAGAACAGGGGGAGATCATACAAACTCCACTCACTCACACTCACTCTGTAGACCAGGGGGAGATCATACAAACTCCACTCACTCACACTCACTCTGTAGACCAGGGGGAGATCATACAAACTCCACTCACTCACTCTGTAGAACAGGGGGAGATCACACAAACTCCACTCACTCACTCTATAGAACAGGGGGAGATCATACAAACTCCACTCACTCACTCTATAGAACAGGGGGAGATCATACAAACTCCACTCACCCACTCTATAGAACAGGGGGAGATCACACAAACTCTACTCACTCACTCTGTAGAACAGGGAGAGATCATACAAACTCCACTCACTCACTATGTAGAACAGGGGGAGATCATACAAACTCCACTCACTCACTCTGTAGAACAGGGGGAGATCATACAAACTCCACTCACTCACTCTGTAGAACAGGGGGAGATCATACAAACTCCACTCACACTCACTATGTAGAACAGGGGGAGATCACATAAACTCTACTCACTCACTCTGTAGAACAGGGAGAGATCATACAAACTCCACTCACTCACTATGTAGAACAGGGGGAGATCACACAAACTCCACTCACACTCACTCTGTAGAACAGGGGGAGATCACACAAACTCCACTCACTCACTATGTAGAACAGGGGGAGATCATACAAACTCCACTCACACTCACTATGTAGAACAGGGGGAGATCAAACAAACTCCACTCACTCACTCTGTAGAACAGGAGTAGAGAACACACAAACTCCACTCACCCACTCTGTAGAACAGGGGGAGATCATACAAACTCCACTCACTCTCAATCTGTAGAACAGGGGGAGATCACACAAACTCCACTCACTCTCACTCTGTAGAACAGGGGGAGATCACACAAACTCCACTCACTCACTCTGTAGAACAGGGGGAGATCACACAAACTCCACTCACTCACTATGTAGAACAGGGGTAGAACACACAAACTCCACTCACTCACTCTATAGAACAGGGGGAGATCACACAAACTCCACTCACTCACTCTGTAGAACAGGGGGAGATCACACAAACTCCACTCACTCTGTAGAACAGGGGGAGATCACACAAACTCCACTCACTCACTCTATAGAACAGGGGGAGATCACACAAACTCCACTCACTCACTCTGTAGAACAGGGGGAGATCACACAGACTCCACTCACTCTGTATAACAGGGGGAGATCACACAAACTCCACTCACTCACTCTGTAGAACAGGGGGAGATCATACAGACTCCACTAACTCTGTAGAACAGGGGGAGATCACACAAACTCCACTCACTCACTCTGTAGAACAGGAGTAGAGAACACACAAACTCCACTCACCCACTCTGTTGAACAGGGGGAGATCATACAAACTCCACTCACTCTCAATCTGTAGAACAGGGGGAGATCACACAAACTCCACTCACTCTCACTCTGTAGAACAGGGGGAGATCACACAAACTCCACTCACTCACTCTGTAAAACAGGGGTAGATCACACAGACTCCACTCACTCTGTAGAACAGGGGGAGATCACACAAACTCCACTCACTCACTATGTAGAACAGGGGTAGAACAAACAAACTCCACTCACTCACTCTATAGAACAGGGGGAGATCACACAAACTCCACTCACTCACTCACTCTGTAGAACAGGGGGAGATCACACAAACTCCACTCACTCACTCTATAGAACAGGGGGAGATCACACAAACTCCACTCACTCACTCTGTAGAACAGGGGGAGATCACAAAGACTCCACTCACTCTGTAGAACAGGGGGAGATCACACAAACTCCACTCACTCACTCTATAGAACAGGGGGAGATCACACAAACTCCACCCACTCACTCTGTAGAACAGGGGGAGATCAAACAAACTCCACTAACTCACTCTGTAGAACAGGGGGAGATCACACAAACTCCACTCACTCACTCTGTAGAACAGGGGGAGATCATACAGACTCCACTAACTCACTCTATAGAACAGGGGGAGATCACACAAACTCCACCCACTCACTCTGTAGAACAGGGGGAGATCAAACAAACTCCACTAACTCACTCTGTAGAACAGGGGGAGATCACACAAACTCCACTCACTCACTCTATAGAACAGGGGGAGATCACACAAACTCCACTCACTCACTCTGTAGAACAGGGGGAGATCACAAAGACTCCACTCACTCTGTAGAACAGGGGGAGATCACACAAACTCCACTCACTCACTCTATAGAACAGGGGGAGATCACACAAACTCCACCCACTCACTCTGTAGAACAGGGGGAGATCAAACAAACTCCACTAACTCACTCTGTAGAACAGGGGGAGATCACACAAACTCCACTCACTCACTCTGTAGAACAGGGGGATATCACACAAACGCCACTCACTCTCACTCTGTAGAACAGGGGGAGATCATACAGACTCCACTAACTCTGTAGAACAGGGGGAGATCACACTCGCTCTCACTCTGCGATACCTGAATGGGGCAGAAAGGTGCCCCAGTCAGGTATCGAACCCAGGCCCCTTCTTGCTGCGAGGCGCGAGTGTTACCCCTGCGCTGCCGCCACCACCACCCTACAGCCCTCGTAGTGTGTGGGGTTGGGTGGTGTGTGGAGTGAGTGGAGTTTGTGTGATCTCCCCCTGTTCTACAGAGTGAGTGGAGTTTGTGTGATCTCCCCCTGTTCTACAGAGCAAGTGAGTGGAGTTTGTATGATCTCCCCCTGTTCTACAGAGTGAGTGAGTGGAGTTTGTGTGTGCTACCCCTGTTCTACAGAGTGAGTGAGTGGAGTTTGTGTGATCTCCCCCTGTTCTACAGAGTGAGTGAGTGGAATTTGTGTGACCTCCCCCTGTTCTACAGAGTGAGAGTGAGTGGAGTTTGTGTGATCTCCCCCTGTTCTACAGAGTGAGTGAGTGGAGTTTGTGTGATCTCCCCCTGTTCTACAGAGTGAGAGTGAGTGGAGTTTGTGTGTTCTACTCCTGTTCTACAGAGCGAGTGAGTGGAGTTTGTGTGATCTCCCCCTGTTCTACAGAGCGAGTGAGTGGAGTTTGTGTGATCTCCCCCTGTTCTACAGTGAGTGAGTGGAGTTTGCGTGATCTCCCCCTGTTCTACAGAGTGAGTGAGTGGAGTTTGTGTGATCTCCCCCTGTTCTACAGAGTGAGAGTGAGTGGAGTTTGTGTGTTCTACTCCTGTTCTACAGAGCGAGTGAGTGGAGTTTGTGTGATCTCCCCCTGTTCTACAGAGTGAGTGAGTGGAGTTTGTGTGATCTCCCCCTGTTCTACAGAGTGAGAGAGTGGAGTTTGTGTGATCTCCCCCTGTTCTACAGAGTGAGAGAGTGGAGTTTGTGTGATCTCCCCCTGTTCTACAGAGTGAGTGGAGTTTGTGTGATCTCCCCTTGTTCTACAGAGTGAGTGAGTGGAGTTTGTGTGATCTCCCCCTGTTCTACAGAGTGAGAGTGAGTGGAGTTTGTGTGTTCTACTCCTGTTCTACAGAGCGAGTGAGTGGAGTTTGTGTGATCTCCCCCTGTTCTACAGAGTGAGAGTGAGTGGAGTTTGTGTGTTCTACTCCTGTTCTACAGAGCGAGTGAGTGGAGTTTGTGTGTTATACCCCTGTTCTACAGAGTGAGTGTGTGGAGTTTGTGTGTTCTACCCCTGTTCTACAGAGTGAGTGAGTGGAGTTTGTGTGTTCTACCCCTGTTCTACAGAGCGAGTGAGTGGAGTTTGTATGATCTCCCCCTGTTCTACAGAGTGAGTGTGTGGAGTTTGTGTGTTCTACCCCTGTTCTACAGAGTGAGTGAGTGGAGTTTGTGTGTTCTACCCCTGTTCTACAGAGCGAGTGAGTGGAGTTTGTGTGATCTCCCCCTGTTCTACAGAGTGAATGAGTGGAGTTTGTATGATCTCTCACCAAGCAAATGAACATCATCTTCGCTGTCGTCATCTTCATCCGTGTCCTCAGCACCAGCAGCACCAGCAATAGCTTGAGCCACTGAACCATCATCCCAGACACAAAGACAAAGATCCCCCCGTGTAGCCTTTGAGGGGGTGCCTGCACCACGTCAGACTGGCTTTGTCTCAAGAGTAGTGATGTTTTACACATCGCACCAGGTACTCATTTGAGGCTGAGTTGATCTAGAGGAGGCCAAGGACCGCTTCAGATAATCGTCACTGGAGTTGGTGGCCATAAGCGGGAATCAAACTCGGGTCGCCAGGTTCCTCGTGCAGCGTGCTAACCGCTACACTACTGCTCCCCCTCACAGCGTACCAAGACAAGACAAAAACCCCCCACATAGCTTTAACAGACTTTTGGGGCAAGTGCTGTTAGCGAGGAGCAGCACCTATCGAGCCCGGCGCAGTACACGATGGCGGTGGTTGGCCAGCACCACGCCCTGCCGCCTTCGTCTCCCCAGTGAAGACGTTTACACATTGCACCAAGTACTCATTTGAGTACAAAAATAACAACCGCCATTCGCCACGAAGTGGCGGTGACATCACCACGGCACCTGTGCCAGGCCAGGTGCACTTCATGGCCACGTGAGGTGTCGAACGCTCACTGGCAGGAGGGTCACGGGTGAGCCCCAGGTGCCATGGGTTGACTGACTGAAATGACTGGCCGATGCACCATCTGTGCCTCCTACTATGGCACACAAACCCACACAGACATGTGCATACATGAGCCATGACCTATCCACTGCTGGATGACTACCCAATCTGTCGATATCAGTCACCGGTCTCTCTCTGCAACAATCCGTCCAGCACGGACAGGCGAGATTATATCACAGCTCCATCGCCAAGGCCCCACTGAGCTGCTATGTAGCTCTTGTTCAGAAGTGACCTGGATACCACAAATGCCAGCTCAAGGCATTTGTGATATCCAGTGGCTTCTCATCATGTGGAGATTTATAGCAGCCAATTACTCTAAAAGCACGTGATGTTCATTCCAAATGTGGAGGGAAAAACCCGGGGGAACCGGAGAAAAATCCACGCGACCACAGGGAGAGAGAGAGAGATATAGATGAGCAGCAGACAAATATACAGCAGCAGCAGCAGGCGTCAGGGTCGGCATCGAACCCACGACCTCCTGCATACCAAGCGAGGTAGTTAACATCTCCTAGCCACCGTGATCATGATGAGAGAGAGACACGCAAACTCCAAATATACAGCAGCAGCAGGCGTCAGGGTCAGGATCGAACTCACGACCTCCTGTATACCAGGCGAGGTAGTTAACATCTCCTAGCCACCGTGATCATGATGAGAGAGAGACACACAAACTCCAAATATACAGCAGCAGCGCGTCAGGGTCAGGATCGAAACCACGACCTCCTGTATACCAGGCGTGGTAGTTAACATCTCCTAGCCACCGTGATCATGATGAGAGAGAGACACGCAAACTCCAAATATACAGCAGGCGTCAGGGTCAGGATCGAAACCACGACCTCCTTCATACTAGGCGAGGGAGTTAACATCTCCTAGCCACCCTGATCATGATGAGAGAGAGACACGCAAACTCCAAATATACAGCAGGCGTCAGGGTCAGGATCGAAACCACGACCTCCTGTATACTAGGCGAGGTAGTTAACATCTCCTAGCCACCGTGATGATGATGATGAGAGACACGCAAACTCCAAATATACAGCAGGCGTCAGGGTCAGGATCGAAACCACGACCTCCTGTATACTAGGCGAGGGAGTTAACATCTCCTAGCCACCGAGGCACCCCACGTGGTGAACGTCCGCAACGGGCACGTTCCCTCCTTTGGCAGGATTGTGTCGTTCATTTCGCCAGTCAAAGTCTCACCAAGCCTCACCGAGACTCCTTTTCAAGAGGGTGCTGTCTTGAGGTGTTTGCCTGTGTTTTTAGCCAGCCGAAGTGACGGTATTTTCGTGCAGCCACTGGTGACCGTGCTGAGACCATCAACTCACTGTACTTGGGAACCCCGTTAAATCACAACTCAGTCTATGTGAGTCTACGGGTCTCCATGTGAGTCTATATGTGAGTCTATGGCTCTCTGAGTGAGTCTATGGCTCTGAGTGAGTCTATGACTCTCTGTGTGAGTCTATGACTCTCTGTGTGAGTCTATGACTCTCTGTGGAGTCTATGGCTCTCTGAGTGAGTCTATGGCTCTCTGAGTCTATGACTCTCTGTGTGAGTCTATGACTCTCTGTGTGAGTCTATGACTCTCTGAGTGAGTCTAAGACTCTCCGTGTGAGTCTATGGCTCTCTGAGTGAGTCTATGACTTTCTGTGCGAGTCTATGGCTCTCTGAGTGAGTCTATGACTTTCTGTGCGAGTCTATGGCTCTCTGAGTCTATGGTTTTCTGAGTAAGTCTGTGGCTCTCTGTGTGAGTCTATGGCTCTCTGAGTGAGTCTATGGTTTCCTGAGTGAGTATATGACTTTCTGTGTGAGTCTATGACTCTCTGTGTGAGTCTATGGCTCTCTATGTGAGTCTATGGCTCTCTGAGCAAGTCTATGGTTTCCTGAGTGAGTCTATTGCTTACTGAGTTAGTCTATGGCAGGGGTCTCAAACTCGCGGCCCGCGGGCTAATTGCGGCCCGCGGAACAATATTTTGTGCCCCCCTACTTGACATCAAATTTAATTTATTTTATTATTATTATTTTTCCATAGCTCAGGCTCGTGACAGCTTCCGGTGTTTGTTGACAAGTTAGCCAAAGCGCATTAGCAACGTTAGTCACTTGGTTGAAACGTGATTCCGGAGTGACACCAAGTGGAAGGAAAATATATCCTGTCACCCAGTGCAAGGTACAGAGGACTTAGGAAGTGGGCGGACTCAACAAGAGTAATCAGTGACCTAATAAAGACAACCGAGTGTTGCAATAGGAAAGGGAAAATAATTACATGGATAGCAAGTAGCATGAGATGGGTGGCAAAAACAAAAGCCAAATGGTGGTTAGAACCTGAATATTATAAAGAAGAAGTTATAGATTATTATTACAAGAGAAACAAAGACAAAGAAAAAGGACAGATACGTGCAATCGCAAAAGAAAACGAATTTACCAAGAACAATTTAATCAAAAAGAGCAAGAAATTTAAAGATATAAAACATGAGACGATGCACTTGATGTTAAGAATTAAGACAGGTGGAGTAACATGGACACCAGAGTTAGCTCAATGGTATCCAGAGAGATTTTGTTAGAGCAGAAGGATATGTAGGATGTAAACAAAAATAAGAAAATCCAGATCACTTTATTTACGAATGTGAAAGGTATAAACACCTGTGAGAGAACACAATTGATAAATTTAATAATGATAAGGAAAACGAAGTGCTCAAAAAAAGCACTTGTTCAAAGAAAACTTGAAGAGGAGGGTGTGGAGGAGGCCATTGCTCTGCACTGCATCATCCATCAGCAGGCCCTTTGCAGTAAATGCCTGAAGTTTGACAATGTGATGTCTGTCGTTGTGAAATGCATCAACCATATCAGATCCAGGGGCTTTAAGCACCGGCAGTTCCGCGCCTTTTTAGAGGCATAGAGTCAGCATATGAGGATGTGCTCTACTTCACCGAGGTGCGTTGACTCAGCAGGGGAAACGTCTTGAAGAGGTTTTTTTGAGTTGAGAGCAGAAGTGAAAGCCTTCATGGAGAAGGATGGGATGGCTGTTCCTGTGCTAAGTGATCCCAAATGGCTCATGGACTTAGCTTTTCTTCTTCTTTGGTTCTTTCGGTAAAGTCACGTAGAATGAGAATAAAATAATAAATTGATAAAATAAAATAACACAATAATATTCTCACAACGTTTCGGCCACAACACAAGCAGCCTTCATCAGGTGAAGGGGACGAGACTGCCTGGAGGACAGCGCTGGAATGAGAAAGCCACGCTGAGCTTAAAGGTCATGATCTCAGCGTGGCTTTCTCACTCCAGCGCTGTCCTCCAGACAGTCTCGTCCCCTTCACCTGATGAAGGCCGCTTGTGTTGTGGCCGAAACGTCGTGAGAATATTATTGTGTTATTTTATTTTATCAATTTATTATTTTATTCTCATTCTACGTGACTTTACCGAAAGAACCAAATAAGATGAATCCTTGCAGTCACGAAAGCTTTAAATCGAAATTTAGCTTTTCTTGTTGACATCACACAGGAGCTGAATGTACTGAACAAGAAGTTACAAGGCCAGGGGCAGCTTGTCAGTGCTGCCTATGACAAAATCAGAGCATTCTCCACAAAACTTGTGTTATGGAAAGCCCAGCTCTCTCATTTCCCAGCATGCAAGGCACTCATGGACGCGGGCACACCATTCAGTGGTGAGAAGTATGCTGATGCCATTGTAAAGCTACAGGAGGAATTTGATCACAGGTTTGCAGACTTCAAGACACACAGAGCCACTTTTCAAATTTTTGCTGACCCCTTCTCCTTCGATGTGCAAGATGCCCCTCCTGTGCTTCAAATGGAGCTAATTGACCTGCAGTGCAATTCTGAACTCAAAGCCGAGTTCAGGGAGGTGAGTGCAAAAGCAGACAAGCTTGGACAATTTTTTGAGAGAATTGCCCCCCACCTTCCCTGAGCTTTCCAGGATGTTCAAGCGGACCATGTGCCTATTTTGGGAGCACATATCTGTGTGAAAAGCTCTTCTGCACCATGAATTTTAATAAGTCTAAGTACAGGTCCAAACTTACTGAGGGTCTCAATTGCTTCCTCCCTCAAGCCAAATGTGGCTCAGCTGTGCAAGAAGAGGAAGCGCTGTCAGGTCTCTGGCAGAAAGGAGTAGGTAAGAGAAGCCTATGTTCTGAAGAACCGTTCATGTTCTGAACTGTTATTAATAAAAATTGAGAAGATTGGATCAGTTGTACTTTTTTTTGGAATACTTGATGCGGCCCAGCCTCACCCAGACTCTACCTCCAGCGGCCCCCAGGTAAGTTGAGTTTGAGACCCCTGGTCTATGGCTATATGAGTGAGTCTATGGCTCTCTGAGCGAGTCTATGGCTCTGAGTGAGTCTATAACTCTCTGTGCGAGTCTATGACTCTCTGTGTGAGTCTGTGGCTCTCTGTGTGAGTCTATGACTCTCTGTGTGAGTCTATGACTCTCTAAATGAGTCTATGGCTCTCCGAGTGAGTCTATGACTCTCCGAGCGAGTCTATGGCTTCCTGAGTGAGTCTATGAATCCCCACTGTAATCCCTGTGGCTGTGTGGCTGAAACCTGGACTGGAACTCAGGCTCTCAGCAGCGCCGGCTCAGAGCCGTCTCTGCCCTCCCAGTTCCACCCGGCCGCCTCTTCCCAGAAGCGCGTTCTCAACAAGTAGGCGCCTACCTTTGCCACCGCTGCCACCACCGCCGCTGTCACCGCCATCTCCAGCATCCTCTTCAATGTCCGTGTCACTGTCCATGTGAAACTCTGGGGCTTGTTGAGGAGGTTTCGCTGTCAATTCCACGGATTCACCTTCGTCAGCTTGGCAACTTCTTCCTCCTCCTTCTCCCCTAACTCCTTGCTCCTCCTCCACCTCCAAATCCTCAATATCAGTCTCACTTCCCGAACTCTGCAACTCTTGCTGCTGCTGCTGCTGTTGCTGATGGTGGCGGTGGCGAGGAGTGACGTCCAAGACTTGGTCCGACCTCCTGGTGAGATTCGCCTGGGGTCCCAAGAGGATTGGCTGAGAGGCCGTTTGGTCTGTGGAACGTGACGGCGATAACCATCAAGGCCGGTTCATGACGGAGCTGCCCGACCGACCCCCCACACTCCCCCACACCCCCCCCCCCCCAGAGACCCGCCCCTACCCCCACACCCCCCCCAACCACACCCACCCCCCCCAGACCCGCCACCCCCACTGCCCCCCCCGCTGCCCTTCACACGGACGTGGGCCGTAGTCCCGCAGCGCTCCACCTCACATCTCTACTCACTACAGAGGGCACCTCCCCCCCCCCCCCACCCCCCACCACAGTGGCAGCTGTCCCTGTGCGGAACAACGCGACTCAGAATCCTTCCCTGATAAGATAGTGAACATCACCCCCCTACTGGCAGGCTAACGCCTGCTCGCAGGCCAGGTGCCCAGTCACCCCGTGTCTGCCGGTAGGGCGGGGAGCGATGGTTGCTGCTATGCGGTCTAGTCTAGCCATCGTGACGTCCGTTACGCACGGAGATAACGCAACGATCCTTCGGACGACGTGTCTGGTATTCTCCACGCGGAGTCGCCCACCAGCAAACTCCGTAGGGCTATCACAAATGATAGCTCTACGAAGAGGCTCGTCACCGCGTGGAATTTTTATAGCAGCCAAATACTCTGATAATACGGGGTTTTTTTGTGGGTTAGATCGGATGAATATATAGAATGTGTCGTTAAACCCGCCACCACCCGACACGGCCAACTAGTAAGGGTTGTCACGTAAACAGAACGTGGCCAATTCGTCACTAGCACAGCACACCGTTGTGTTGGCGAGCCAAGCTACAATATTTACAGCCAAATACGGGAAGAGGGAGAGAGAGAGAGACACGCAAACTCCAAATATACAGCAGGCGTCAGGGTCGCGATCCAATCCATGACCTCCTGCATAGCAGGCGAGGTAGTTAATGTCCCCTCGCGCCCGTGGGGAAATGTTATTACACACGAATTTCACTCGTGTACAACCCACCGTCCCACCCTCCCACCCCCCCCCCACGTTACACACGAGACAGAGGGAGACACGGACGGACAGAGTTAACTTTTTTTCAACCTCGAGACGGAACGACGTTAACCGGCGATCGCGACGAGAGGCGGCGTCTCGCGAAGACCGGGGCGGGCGCGCACGGTGATCACCTCTTGCGGAGTACGTCTCGGACTCGGAAGATGAAACGTCGAGCCGCAAGCACTTCCTGGGAGCTGGGATCAGTGGGCCAGAGTCATCGAGCTCCTCCTCACTACAGCGACGTAGACACACACACACACACACAACAACAACAACCATCGTTCGTCACCGTTGTGCCGGTGACGTGACCAAGGCGCTTGTGCCACGCTAGGTACACCTTGAAGCTATCACGTGAAGTGTGAAATGCTCACTGCTGCCAGAAGGTCACGGGGCAGACTCAGTTGGCAGTTGGCGTGATAGCTCACTACAGTGACCTGTGATCCAGAGGTCGCTGGTTCTATTCCATCTCCTGGCACAGCAGTTGAAACAATGGTAGCAAGATGAATAAATCAATGCGTTGCTGGTTCGGCGAATGACCGTGTGGTTGAATGGTTGTGTGGTTGAGTGGTTGCTTCGAGTAAGCCACGTCGTTGAGAGGTTGTGTCTTTGAATGACATAACAAGTCGGTTGGTGAGTGACCGTGTGTGTGGTTGAGCGGTTGTGAGGTTGGGTAGGAGAATGACCATGTGATTGAGTGGTCGTGTGGTGGCGAGGCTGATTGAGAGGTTGGGTAGGTGAGTGACTGTGCCATTGAGTGGTTGAAGCGGCTAAATGATTTGAGTATTTGTGGAGTTGAATGTCGTTGGCGGTCGAGTGGTTGCGTAGATGGCTGGGTTTGAGTGGTAAGGTTAAATTTCGGGTACAATTTTAAGTATTGCTGCTGCTGCTAACATTCCAAGGCCTTAAGCGGCCTTTAACCATTTCACATTCAACAACTCACGGCTTCTCCGATCCGGCGATTTACATCTGCCCCGTGTGCCGAGAACTAAGCCTCTGCGCCTTGGGTGACCGCGGGCCTTTGAATGCGCTGTGCCAAGACCACGGAATGCCCTGGCCACCAGTGGCTAGACGGGCGAGCTCACTCACCCTTCTCTAAAGACTCACCTTGTTTCGCCTGCAGGCCTACACTTCCCACGTATGACCAGTACACTCTGGACTTTGTAGTACCTTAGACTCTCGATTTATGCAGGTGCGGTTTGTCCGATTTGCGGATTAACTGCACCGCTGAGATTTCGACATGAATTAATAACTCGTGGATTTTCCCTTAAGCCCAAATGAATCATCTAAAAAACGGCTATACATTGTTATTCTTGGAAATGTTTATTACAAGATCGTGTGTTTAAACCGAACAAATATGTGCTCCGCTAAATCCAAAATCTACGCGATCGCCCCTACAGCACAGTAGTTGCATATATTATCAACGGTGGACGGAGTTTGATTGATGTTGACTGGCGTGGCTCTGCTGTCATCCACGTAGTGGGCTGAGTCTTCTGCGTGGCAGCAGGGAAGTGTTATCACTGTGCACGCGCATCATCGAACAGTTCATCGTACATTTTTGGCATAGAGATCCGTGGAAATACATTTTGATATAAAGCTTTCGTGACTGCAGGGATTCATATTCTTGGTTCTTTCGGTAAAGTCACGTAGAAGGGAGACAATAAAATAATAAAAATATAAAACAATACAATTCTCACGACGTTTCGACTGCACCTGCAATACAAGCAATCATCATCAGGTGTGATGATTGCTTCTTGTGTTGCAGTCGAAACGTCGTGAGAATTGTATTGTTTTATATTTTTATTATTTTATTTTTTTCCCTTCGACGTGACTTTACCGAAAGAACCAAGAATATGAATCTGTGGAAATGTTTTGTTTTAATTATCATTATTATCCGCGGCCATCCTCCCCGTCATTAGCGAAGATATTCGAGAGTCTTACTGCATTCATATTTCCTAACATCGTGCTTGGCGCACTGAGATCCCCCGGATGAAATACCGCCTTATGAATGTGAACTATTATTAGTATTAGGTGGTCAAGCGGTTGAGCGGTTTAACCTGTCTGGGACCACGGTGTCGGAGGGAGAGAGTTGTTCATCAACGATGGTTCGACCTGCACACGTCACAACACACGTCATACACGCTACAATGCAGCCCTACACGCGACGCACAAGGTACATCACAGCACACGCACGTCGTGACGCACACAGGCACCACACCGTAACGCACGCAGCACGTTACACCACGTACATGTCACAGCACGCATTATAGTACAAGAGAGAGACAAAGATCTGCCGTATAGCCTTAACAGACTGTCGGGGCAAGTGCTGTTAGCGACGAGCACCTACGAAGGCCGAGACAGCATATGAGGGGGTGCCCGCACCACGCCCGACTGGCTTTGTCTCCAAAGTAGCGGTGTTTAACGCATCCCACCAGGTACTCATTCGAGGCTGAGTTGATCTAGAGGAGGCCAAGGACCGCTTCAGATAATCGTCACTGGAGTTGGTGGCCGTAAGCGGGAATCGAACTCGGGTCGCCAGGTTCCTCGTGCAGCGTGCTAACCGCTACACTACTGCTCCCCCTCACAGCGTACCAAGACAAGACAAAAATCCCCCATATAGCTTTAACAGACTTTTGGGGCAAGTGCTGTAAGCGGAGCAGCACCTATGAAGGCCGGCACTGTGGCACACGAGGGGGTGGGTGGTCAGCACCACGCCCGGCCGCCTTTGTCTCCCCAGTGGCAATGTTTACTACACACCGCACCAGGTACTCATTTGAGGCTGAGTCGACCTAAGGGAGGCCCGGGACCGGTTCAGATAATCGTCACTGGTGTTGGGCGTGAGCGGGAATCGAACCCGGGTCGCCAGGTTCATAGCGCAGCGCGCTAACCGCTACACTATCGCTCCCCACTACACACAATGCAACACGCACACTCACACACACACATATATATACCCAGGCACGCACGAACACCTCCCGCACCCTCTCTCTTGTCCCACCCCTCTCCTCTTTCCTTCCCCATCCCCTCCGCTCACCTCTACCACCCTCTCTCCGCTTCTCGTCTGCCCCTCTTTTCCTCTACCTACAAACCTCCTCTCCGCTCCCTTCTCATCTCCTCACCTGCCCCTCTCCTCCTCCTCCTCGGCTCCAAGCAGGAGGGGCTCCCGGTGGAGCCGGTGGCAATGACGCGTGGCCCCCCGTCTCCTCCTCCCGATCTCCCCAGTGGGGGGGGAACCACGGGGGTTCCACCCAGCACCAGCGCCGCTCCACCCACAGCGCCCCCATAGTTCCGCGTCTCCTCCAGCGGCAACTGCCGCTGATGCCCTCCCTATAATGATGCACGGAATTACACAGAACAACAACAACACTGGGAAACACCCAGACCCAGGGCTTGAACCCAGGTTCTCAGCAATGCTGGCTCAGTGTCTCTGACACGGCCATTATGAACCCACTGAGGGAGAGAGACACAGACCTCGAACCCAGCTTCTCAGCAATGCTGGCTCAGTGTCTCTGACACGGCCATTATGAACCCACTGAGAGAGACACCCAGACCCAGGGCTCGAACCCAGGTTCTCAGCAATGCTGGCTCAGTGTCTCTGACACGGCCATTATGAACCCACTGAAAGAGACACCCAGACCCAGGGCTCGAACCCAGGTTCTCAGCAATGCTGGCTCAGTGTCGCTGACACGGCCATTATGAACCCACTGAGAGAGACACAGACCTCGAACCCAGGTTCTCAGCAATGCTGGCTTAGTGTCTCTGACACGGCCATTATGAACCCACTGAGAGAGACACCCAGACCCAGGGCTCGAACCCAGGTTCTCAGCAATGCTGGCTCAGTGTCTCTGACACGGCCATTATGAACGCACTGAGAGACACAGACCTCGAACCCAGGTTCTCAGCAATGCTGGCTTAGTGTCTCTGACACGGCCAATATGAACCCACTGAGAGAGACACCCAGACCCAGGGCTCGAACCCAGGTTCTCAGCAATGCTGGCTCAGTGTCTCTGACACGGCCATTATGAACCCACTGAAAGAGACACCCAGACCCAGGGCTCGAACCCAGGTTCTCAGCAATGCTGGCTCAGTGTCTCTGACACGGCCATTATGAACCCACTGAGGGACACCTAGACCCAGGGCTCGAACCCAGGTTCTCAGCAATGCTGGCTCAGTGTCGCTGACACGGCCATTATGAACCCACTGAGAGACACCCAGACCGAGGGCTCGAACCCAGGTTCTCAGCAATGCTGGCTCAGTGTCTCTGACATGGCCATTATGAACCCACTGAGAGAGAGAGACATAGACCTCGAACCCAGGTTCTCAGCAATGCTGGCTCAGTGTCTCTGACACGGCCATTATGAACCCACTGAGAGAGACACCCAGACCCAGGGCTCGAACCCAGGTTCTCAGCAATGCTGGCTCAGTGTCTCTGACATGGCCATTATGAACCCACTGAGAGAGACACCCAGACACATCATTGCACCCAAAGTCAACCCAATTCCCAAATTCTCAAACCCACCTCCTCTTCTTCCAACCAGGAATCCTCGATGACCAGACCCCTTCCCCGGCCTTCCTTAGGAATCCCTGCTGATACATTCCCAGTGTCAGAATTCCCAGTGTCGGAATTGCCGGTGTAGGAATTCCCAACTCCTGCTGATGATGAATCCTTCCCAGATTCCTCTCCCTTCCCCACATCCGATTCGATCCCCAACTCCGCCCACAAATCATGAGTGGTGCCAGTTGACGGCTGGGGAATCTTGGAATTCTTGGATTCTGTCTCTCTTCCTTCTGGAATCTTCCCTCTCTCTTCTGCCTCTCTCTCGGAATTCCGTGATTCTTTCTCCCCACCTTCCCGTTCCGCCTCGCCGATCGATTCCCCTCTCCCGTTTGTCCGGTCAGATTCGTCGGGAAAAATATCCAAGTCGGAATCTGTCTCATCTTCTCCCGCCGCAGCAGCAGCAGCAGCAGCAGGGTGAACATCATCATCAGCAGCAGCAACAGCAGCAGCAGCAGCAGACTCATCATCATGAGCAGCAGCTTCTCCGGTAGGTTCCTTGTTCGAGACAGAGGCAGCGACGGTCCGGCTCGTACGGAAAATCGCCCGGACTTCTCCAAACGAGATGACGTCTCCGTCGCGAACCTCGTATCTGGCGTGGGGCCGCAGGGTCAGGCGGCCCCTCCTCGTGCCGTTCAGACTGCCCAGGTCTCGCACGAACGCCGGGCTCTCGTCGCGAGCGTCCCTGGCGTCATGGCCGCCGCCGCCGTCGTCGCCGTCAGGAGGGGGAGAGGCCTCGAAGGCGGCGTGACGTCGGGAGAGAGAGGCGACGGGCACGCAGACGCCGCACCCCGGGTCGCGCCCCACCACAGTCTCGCCGGCGAACAGGGGGAACTCTTGAGGTTGGAAGAGAGAGAGAGAGGGAGAGAAAAACGATTGTACGTCTGTCTGTATGTCGGACTTCTTTTGCACCGTACGTAGCCAACCGCGCTAATCGGAGAAGTTCTAAGGAAAGGAGTTTGTCAACCTAGATGATGATTTTAAAGTGCATAGTTCCCAGCGACGTACTGATATCGGAAGAGCGTTCCAGACGGCCGCAGAGGCGCATCTGAAAGCGCGCGATGCGGTCCACGTCTTTGCTCGACGGTCAGCCAAAAGCCGCTGCTGCTCCTGCGATGGTCACCGGAGTTTGCGCGATGAACCACAAGTACCTCGGCGAGGCACTTGTGGTTCTTCCGTGACAACCACGAATGAGCAGAGATTGTTGACGGACGAGCGAGATTCCGATGAGTGGTGGGCGAGAGGATCGATTGCCGTCGCGAGTGCGAGGGAACGTGTTGGTGAATGGAGCGATTTTGTGGGCGGAGGGAATGAGAGAGGCAGGGTGAGACGGCCATAATTCGGGAGAATACAAATGAGACAGAACCCATGAGGCAGGGCAATTGAGACACACAATACCAACGAGACAGAAAATACAAACGAGACGTCACAGGACCTTTTTGCCAGTATCAAAGTATGAAAAATAAGAAAAGGTTTTACACTTTCTGGTCTGACACGTGCATCGTCCTTGTACCGTTCAACTTTTGGCGTTCTCTGGTATGACACTGGCGGTGAGACGAGGCCAGAAAGAAGGCTGCTGTCTCAGTTTCAAAGACAATGCATCATAAAACACATTCTCCTGCGGAGGGAGCTGGTAGGAACGTTGGGTTGCTCGGTCAATGGCCAGGGTCAACAGCGGCATCACGTGGTGGTGTGTTCAGCACAATATGCCCGACTGTGAGGGGCGGGCACAAGCCGGCGTGAGTAGGTTACACGTTGAGTTTTATAAGGGCACCACGGGGTGACCAGCCCCTCCCTACCCAGCCCCTCCCCACCCAGCCCCTCTCCACCCAGCCCCTCCCATTTTTGGATGCACGATGGACGGACACAATAATCCCCTGTGGGCTGGTGGTGTAACCAGGAGGTTCCTACACAGTATAACCAGCGTTTGCTTGCATGTTCAACTACAAATACTGTGTGGTTAATGCAGTGCTTGATTCCTTGCAAAATATTTATATTATTGTGTTTGAGCATCTTAACAACCTGTGTTATTGCTAGAAAGGGTAAAACCTAATTCGTATTTTTCATACAAATGAGACACTTCAAAGACGAGACACATCTTACCATGACGGGGCCAAATACATCAACAGGAAAGTACAGGAACCCTTGTATATACATTTTATTTTATTTTACCAGGTAAGGTCCACTGAGCTATATATTTTTTTCACAAATAGCTCAAAATGGCTTATCGTGTGGAAATGTATAGCAGATAAATACTCTAAAAGCATGTTCCTAAATGTGGAGGGAAAACCCGGAGGAACCCGTAGAAAAATTGTACGCGACCAGGGGCAGAGACATGAAAACAAGCGTCAGGGTTCGGATCGAACCCACGACCTCCTGTATACCAGGCGAGGTAGTTAACATCTCCTAGCCACCGTGATGATGATGATGAGAGACACGCAAACTCCACATACACAGCAGCAGGCGTCAGGGTTGGGATCGAACCCACGACCTCCTGTACACCAGGTAAGGTAGTTAACATCTCCTAGCCACCGTGATAATGATGATGATGAGAGACGCAAACTACAAATACACAGCAGGGGTCAGGATCGGGATCAAACCCACGACCTCCTGTATACCAGGCGAGGTAGTCAACATCTCCTAGCCACCGTGATGATGATGATGAGAGACGCAAACTCCAAATACACAGCAGGGGTCAGGGTCAGGATCGAACCCACGACCTCCTGCCTACCAGGCGAGGTAGTTAACATCTCCTAGACACCGTGATGATGAGAGAGAGACACGCAAACTCCAAATATACAGCAGCAGGCGTCAGGGTCGAACCCACGACCTCCTGCATACCAGGCGAAGGAGATCACATACTGTATAGGTTGTGTGCGCGGCTGTAGTACAGTATACAAGTGTGTACAGTATATTATTAACGGTAACATAGTACTACACTTCAAATGCATAATGACTTGAGTAATGGACATTCCACATTCCCATGCCGAGACAAGGTCAGCCGGTACGTGGCATGCGTGATTGTGTATAGAAGCGTGCGCATTACGACACTGTATCATTATAATTATTAACAACCACACTTGCATTCACTTCGTGTCGATGGCGGCAATTCCACGTTGCCGTGCCGATGCCAAGTCCATCCACTGCACTGGCCGCTTGACAACGCGCGCGCGTGTGTGTGGGGGGAGCGGTGGCGCAACGGTTAGCGCGCTACGCTGCCCGACGATCCGGGCTACCATCCGAGTTCGATTCCCGCTCACGGCCAACACCACCAACACCAACAGCGACTATCTCAACGTGGTCCTGGGCATCTCCTAGGTCGGCTCAGCCTCAAATGAGTTACCCGGCGCTGCTGTGTGTGTGTGTAGTAAACATCGCATCACTGGGGGAGACAAAGGCGGCCGGTACTAACAACAACTTGCCACAACAGTCTGCGAGAGGCTACACGGGGGGGAGGGGGATATTTTTTTGTGTTTTTAGCTGCCACGACGTTAAGGTGGCGGACTGCGACGGCACTCGCAGAAGCTTTAGCCACAACGACGTTAGTTGACGATAACACGGATCAGCAACAACAATAATAACAACAACAGTTACGCGTCTTTGTAGCCGTGCGATGTTTTGTTGTCGTTTTACCTGTTTCTGAGAAGCAATCGTGACCTAAGACTCTGAGGACTGCCACTGCGGTCTCCCTCATCCTCCTCCTCCTCGTCTTCCTCCTCTTCGTCTTATCTCCCGCCTCCTCCTCCTCGTCTCTCTCCACCAGCGCTTGCGTCTGGTCCAAGTTCATCTTCGTCTCTCTCGTCCGTGTCCGGGGGAGACTGAACGACGAGGGTTGTTGGTCGCCGTGTGGGCGAGTGGTTGGTTATTACTCAAGGGATTTGCAATGGCGAGCTTGAGCTGCTACTTACTGTACCGTGGGTGTTGCGATGGATTCGTGAGGTAAAATTATTCTTGATTTTTTTTTTACAAAAAAAAACGGGTGCAGGCAGAGGCTTTCGTTTGTCAGGTAAATCGCGCGCGCCGTGTTAAAGTGTGTAATGTGTTTTTTGTTTGTTTTGTTTTGAGCTGCCTTTTGTTTACGCGGTTGACCCATTCGCGCCGCCCGCCCGATGCGATTCGCGCGCTTTTTGTTAACGAGGAGGAGGAGGCGTGGGCCCGGGGGCGTTCGCCTGTTAACTTTTGTGTGGATTTATATTCGTGCGTTGTAATGCTTATGTCGCGATGTTAAAACCAATAAAAGATAAAGTCCTCTTACGTAAATGTGTATCGCTGTACCGTTACACGCGCGATTTTCGTGTGTATTTAATTATGCAGTTTCAAGAGCTGAACGGCTAATCATTATTTTCCGGGTTTTATTTAGGTGAAATAGAACTTTACGAGTGTCGACGCGAATATTGTAACTCGTTTAAATTAAAACCTTATCTGCGACTTCGTTGGGCTGAATCCTGCAAATCAACCCGTGACGTAACGCGCCAATGCATTCTCACCCAAGATGGCAGCACGCAGCTTCGCGAGCCGCCATCTTGGTAAGGGGCTTACACTCTGGGAGATGCGGATAAAAGGAGCACGTGCATTCGATGACACACTCGGGGTAGAGGAGACGCGCGCATTGATCAAGTTCAGATCCTTACCCAAGATGGCGGCGCGCAGCTTGACGTGTCGCCATCTTAGTATGGGGCTTACGAGTGTGCGGCGACGTCATTGCGTTGCCAGAGCTTACCAGCTCAAGATGTTTGTCACCTCCAAAGGCTGTCTAAGTTCGTGCTTGGGAATTGCACGTTACTATGGCGGAGGTGCATATTCTATCGATAGGAAGACCACAATTAAAAAAAACACGCAAAAATGAACTCAACGCGCTTGCTATCATGTTTTGGCCAGGGGGAAATGTGTTTTTGTTGTTTTAAAGTACTGGATTGTGTTATTGATCAATTGGGGTCACAAACAGCTTAAATCATCGCCTCCTACTGGCAGACTGATGCACTGGGACAGCTGCCACTGGGGGTGCCCCTAGGCTAGACCACACAGCAGACTGATGCACAGGGACAGCTGCCACTGGGGGTGCCCCTAGGCTAGACCACAGCAGACTGATGCACAGGGACAGCTGCCACTGGGGGTGCCCCTAGGCTAGACCACACAGCAGACTGATGCACAGGGACAGCTGCCACTGGGGGTGCCCCCTAGGCTAGACCACACAGCAGACGGATGCTCAGGAACAGCTGCCACTGGGGGTGCCCTTAGGCTAGACCACACAGCAGACTGATGCACAGGGACAGCTGCCACAGAGAGACCCACAGATCCAGTAGGGGGGGGCAGGGTTCGAATCATTTGAGCTCCCCCGCTAAGGTCTCCACCATTTACAGCCCCCGGTTTTGCGGGGGGGGGGGGGGGGGGCTCAACGTGCACGGCGCAGGCTCGAGAAGAGACGGGAGGCCGACGCGATTATTCGGAAGAGCGGCGTCGAGATGGAACGCTAACAGAGGCGGCTCGTGAAAGATGCTCGCGACCCTTGCAGCGAGGAGGCGGCGGTCCTTCACACAACAACAACAGCAGCAGCAGCAGCAACGGACGGCGGAGGAGCGGCGGCGATCGACGGCAAGCGGCGATCGACGGCAAGCGTCTGCCGCTCTCCACTACCGGTTCCGTGGCCCCCTAGCCAGCGAGCCTTCTCGATGTGCCGCCTTCACCTGGGCAGCCACAAGGCGAAGGTCCACCGTGGGGCCTTCGCGAACTGCTGGGGCGAGTGTTGCTGACGAGCACGTTATGGAGGCCGGCACTGTGGCGCGCTAGGGTCAGCACCACGCCCGGCCGCCTTTGTCTCCCCAGTGGCGATGTTTTATCACGCGCCGCACCAGGTGCTCATTTGAGGCCGAGTCGACCTAGCGGAGGCCCAGAACCAGTTCAGATCGTCGGATGTTGGTGGCGGCCGTGAGCGGGGATAGGACCCGGGTCGCCGGGTTCGTAGCAAAGCGTAGCGCTTGGCGCTAGACTAACGCTCCCCACTGGGTAGCCACACACACACACAGGTACGCACGCAAGCACGCAATGAGCATCGCGTCCAGGAGGATCGACTCCTCGTCTTTAATGAAACTCATGGGGCGTGCGGCAACATTGCACGCGTGTACGCGTACCACACGCACGGACACTGGGACCGCGAGGCCCTATTCATCCATCGCACCACCAGCACCCTCGCACCGCCACCACCGCCACCCTCGCACCCGGAAAAAAAAAATAAACCATGGCGCCGTTCTTCCATTTTTGGCGGCAGCGAGCGAGGTCCACGCCGCCTGCCAGCCACCATTGCGATTCGAGCGCCGGATTCTCTAACGATGGAGGAAGAAGGTAGGGGCGGCGGTGGGTGGTGGGTGGTGGCGTTGGCAGAACCGAGCCGGCCGGGTTTGTTTATGCACCGCGGCAACCGAGCCGTGCTGCTGCTGCTGCTGCTGCCGAGGACGACGCACACAGGACGAACCAGTTGGCGTACCGAGCTGGCGGCGGCACCGCCGCGTCATTAGCCCCGCCCGTCCACCTGGCCCTGCTTGGCCCCACACCCCCCACCCAAGACGGCGGCGGTGGCGGCAGCGTCTGCACCGGCGCGATTTGTTTCCGGTTCGGTGTCGGCAAACAGTCGGTGGAAAAACCACCCAGACAACAGCCGAGTGGTGCACACTGGGGGCCAGTGGGAAAGCCGTATCGGAGGGGATGATGGAAGCTGTGTGTGTGTGTAGCACAGAGTGCCGTGTGTTGCACTGTGCGTGTGTAGTTTAGTACGTATAGTGTAGGGAGCTATGTGTCGCACAGGGTGTGTAGTGTCGAGTGATGTGTGTTGGTGTGCGTGTAAAGTGAAGTATGGCAGAGTGCATGGCGATTGGTGGCGCTACAAGAAGAACTGCGTGTCCGTCCGTCGGGGCGGCTCCAGGGGGTCCGCCTCGCTGGCCTTGACGTTCTTGGGGGGGCGCGTGCGAGACTGCAGCACGTTGTCAGGGAGCGGTCGCTCCGTCTTCACCTTCGTCACCTGGAGACGACGGCGTGGGGGAGGTGGGGAGAGCAGGGGGGTAGAGAGGGAGGGAGGGGGGAGGGAGGGAGGGAGGAGAGGGAGGGGGAGGGAGGAGAGGGAGGGGTTCGACCATCGTTACGAGAGTCGTCGCGCGCCCATTACAGACGGACGTGCGGGCAGAGCCATTGATTGAATGTTCTCGAGGAACCCTGCGGGAGTCCTGCCACGGGGCACCCCCGCCCCCGCCCTGCCCCCCGGGGGCAGCTGTCCCTGCCGCGTGTTGAACTAACACAGAGGCAGGGAGGTGAACAAACACAGCGCCTTGCCTTGCATGGCGGGCATGAGGAGTCTGTCGGCAGGGGAGCAGGTTTGCAATGTATTTTTTTCTCTCTCTCGCAACACCAACACGCGGCCACTGGTCACCAAGTGGCGGTGACGCCACCACGGCGCCTGTACCAGGCCAGGTGGACACTTTGAGGCCACGTGGGAGCGTTGAAGGGTCGTTGGCGGGAAATCACGAGACAGACCCAGCCGGTGCCATGGGTTGGCTGACTGAGATGACCGGCAGATGCACCACCACCTGTGCCCCCCTCTCCCTCCCTCCACTCTCTTCCTCTCACCCAATGTTTTTCTCCCACTCTCTCTCCTTCCCTCCCTCCCATTCTCACTCTCCCTCCAACTCTCACTCTCTCTCACTCTCACTCCTCTCCCTCCTCCTCCTCTCCCTCCTCCCACTCTCCCTCCTCCCACTCTCCCTCTCACTCTCCCTCCCACTCTCCCTCCCACTCTCCCTCTCACTCTCCCTCCCTCCCACTCTCCCTCCCACTCTCCCTCCCACTCTCCCTCTCCCTTTCACTCTCCCTCCCTCCTCCCCTCCCTCCTCCCCTCCCTCCTCCCCTCCCTCCTCCCCTCCCTCCTCCCCTCCCTCACACTCTCCCTCACACTCTCCCTCCCTCCTCCCACTCTCCCTCCTCCCACTCTCCCTCCTCCCACTCTCCCTCCAACTCTCCCACCCACTCTGCCTCCCACTCTCCCTCCCACTCTCCCTCCCACTCTCCCTCCCACTCTCCCTCCCACTCTCCCTCCCACTCTCTCCTCCCACTCTCCCTCCCACTCTCCCTCCCATTCTCCCTCCCCTCCCACTCTCCCTCCCACTCTCCCTCCCACTCTCCCTCCCACTCTCCCTCTCACTCTCCCTCCCTCCTCCCCTCCCTCCTCCCCTCCCTCACACTCTCCCTCCCTCCTCCCCTCCCACTCTCCCTCCAACTCTCCCACCCACTCTGCCTCCCACTCTCCCTCCTCCCACTCTCCCTCCTCCCACTCTCCCTCCTCGCACTCTCCCTCCCCTCCCATTCTCCCTCCCCTCCCACTCTCCCTCCCACTCTCCCTCCCACCCCACTCTCCCTCCCACTCTCCCTCTCACTCTCCCTCTCACTCCCTCCTCCCCTCCCTCCTCCCCTCCCTCCCACTCTCCCTCCTCCCACTCTCCCTCCTCCCACTCTCCCTCCAACTCTCCCACCCACTCTGCCTCCCACTCTCCCTCCTCCCACTCTCCCTCCTCCCACTCTCCCTCCTCCCACTCTCCCTCCCACTCTCCCTCCTCCCACTCTCCCTCCTCCCACTCTCCCTCCTCCCACTCTCCCTCCTCCCACTCTCCCTCCCACTCTCCCTCCCACTCTCCCTCCCACTCTCCCTCCCACTCTCCCTCCCACTCCCACTCTCCCTCCCACTCTCCCTCCCACTCTCCCTCCCACTCTCCCTCTCACTCTCCCTCCCTCCTCCCCTCCCTCCTCCCCTCCCTCACACTCTCCCTCACACTCTCCCTCCCTCCTCCCACTCTCCCTCCTCCCACTCTCCCTCCTCCCACTCTCCCTCCTCCCACTCTGCCTCCAACTCTCCCACCCACTCTGCCTCCCACTCTCCCTCCCACTCTCTCCTCCCACTCTCTCCTCCCACTCTCCCTCCCACTCTCCCTCCCATTCTCCCTCCCCTCCCACTCTCCCTCCCACTCTCCCTCCCACTCTCCCTCCCACTCTCCCTCTCACTCTCCCTCCCTCCTCCCCTCCCTCCTCCCCTCCCTCACACTCTCCCTCCCTCCTCCCCTCCCTCCCACTCTCCCTCCTCCCACTCTCCCTCCAACTCTCCCACCCACTCTGCCTCCCACTCTCCCTCCTCCCACTCTCCCTCCTCCCACTCTCCCTCCTCCCACTCTCCCTCCTCCCACTCTCCCTCCCCTCCCATTCTCCCTCCCCTCCCACTCTCCCTCCCACTCTCCCTCCCACCCCACTCTCCCTCCCACTCTCACTCTCCCTCTCACTCTCCCTCCCTCCTCCCCTCCCTCCTCCCCTCCCTCCCACTCTCCCTCCTCCCACTCTCCCTCCTCCCACTCTCCCTCCAACTCTCCCACCCACTCTGCCTCCCACTCTCCCTCCTCCCACTCTCCCTCCTCCCACTCTCCCTCCCCTCCCATTCTCCCTCCCCTCCCACTCTCCCTCCCACTCTCCCTCCCACCCCACTCTCCCTCCCACTCTCACTCTCCCTCTCACTCTCCCTCCCTCCTCCCCTCCCTCCTCCCCTCCCTCCCACTCTCCCTCCTCCCACTCTCCCTCCTCCCACTCTCCCTCCAACTCTCCCACCCACTCTGCCTCCCACTCTCCCTCCTCCCACTCTCCCTCCTCCCACTCTCCCTCCTCCCACTCCCCCCTCCTCCCACTCTCCCTCCCACTCTCCCTCCTCCCACTCTCCCTCCTCCCACTCTCCCTCCCCACTCTCCGCTCCCCCCCCTCGCGCACCTTGGAGAGCTCCCCCAGGTCAGGGCGAACCCAGCCGAGCTTGTCGAGCACGCACGAGTCGAAGGCGCGCTGCGGCACGCGGCAGTGACGGAACTCCTGATTCCCGCGCTCGTCCAGGCATCCCCAGTACGCGTCAAACGGCTCCGCGCACTGAGACTTGATCTTCCTGAACGGCGGAGGGGGGCGTGGAACACAGGGCGTGACGTTCGCAGAGGCTCGCCTCACGGCTCAAAGGGTCGGGGAAGCGGAGCCGGGACACCGCTCACGTCTCTAGGTACCGGTTTGGGTTTCAACTGCACTGCCGCAGCCATTTTAACTAAAACTAAACACATTTTTTTTTGTTTTACTACCAGGTAAGGTCCCACTGAGCTGCTATGGAGCTGTTTTTCAGATGCGGCCAAGGCCGTCACAAATGATAGCGGCTCAACGAAGTAGCATCATCATCATCGTCGTCGTAATCGTCGTTATCATCGTCGTCGTCATCGTCGTCATCGTCATCATCATCGTCATCATCATCGTCGTCATCGTCGTCATCGTCATCATCGTCATCATCGTCGTCATCATCGTCATCATCGTCGTCATCGTCGTCATCATCGTCGTCATCGTCATCATTATCGTCGTCATCATTGTCGTCGTCGTCATCATCATCGCGTGGAAATTCATAGCAGTAGCCAAATACTCTAAACGCATAGAGACCCATAGAGATACATACAGACCCATAGAGACACACAGAGATGACTAGAGACCTATAGATATACATAGATATACATAGAGATACATAGAGACCCATAGAGATACATAGAGACACACAGAGATGACTAGAGACCCATAGATATACAGATATACATAGAGACCCAGAGATACATAGCGACCCATAGAGACCCATAGAGATACATAGAGACCCATACAAATGACGAGAGACCCATAGAGATACAGAGACACACAGAGATACATAGAGATGACTAAAGACTCAAAGAGACTCATAGGGACCCATGAAGACACATAGATACCCATAGAGACCCATAGAGATACTTAGAGATGACTAGAAACCCATAGAGACACAGAGATCCATAGAGACCCATAGAGACCAATAGAGACCCATAGAGATACTTAGAGATGACTAGAGACCCGTAGAGACCCGTAGATATACTTAGAGACACATAGAGATGACTAGAAACCCATAGAGACACAGAGACCCATAGAGACATATAGAGATGACTAGAGACCCATAGAGACACATAGAGACACATAGAGCCCCATAGAGACACAGAGACCCATAGAGATGACTAGAGACCCATAGAGACACACAGAGACCCATAGAGATGAACAGCGATCCACAGAGCTACAGAGACCCACAGACTAAACTAACATTTAACTATGTTTATTTGACCAGGTTTAAGTCCCACTGCGCTGCTATGGAGCTATTTTTCGTAAGTGGCCAAGGGCGTCACAAATGATAGCGGCCCATGGAAGGGGCTAATCATGCCAAATAAATACTCGAAAATCGGCGATGATGATTCTAAATGTGGAGGGACAAATCCGGAGGACCCGGAGAAAAATCCACGTGGCCACAGGGAGAGGGACACCGCAAACTCCGAACATACCGCAGCAGGCATCAGGGATGGGATCGAACCCACGACCTCCTGTGCACCAGGCGAGGTAGTTAACATCTCACAGCCACCGTGGCGCCTCAGGTTGTCACGTGGTCTCGGCATGTTAACCAGAGACTCGCACAGACACCCCCCTCCCCCCCAGGTAAACATTCGAGATCCACAGACTCGCGGACTCGCACCGACCGAGATGCGACCACAGCGTGTTTCGCAAGCGCGGCGAGTTGACATGCCCCCCCCGAAGGGCTTACATACACAGACCCATAAGGCCCACGAGATGCGTGGATTCACGCGCACCTCCGATGAGCACGGCTGGGCTACGTACGGTGCGAGAGACGCGCGAGAAATGAATTTCGCGCGCCAAGCGAGATGACGAAGCAGCGGCTCGTAATTGGCCGGTGTGCTCCCACCCCGTGGTCTACACGACTGGGAGGTTTGATATAAACGGTCGAGAAAAGCCGACGCGCTGAACCGGGAAGGGCTGCGCAAGAGACGGGGGGCACCTGAAGAAGTCCAGCGTGCAGTTGGTGACCTTGCGCCCCTCGGCCAGACACTTCCGGGGGTCTTTCTCCTCCCAGCGACATAGCATGAACTCCTGTGACACACCGCACGTGACACAGGTCAATACCTTAACCAACACGCGGCCATTCGCCACCAAGCGAAGGTGGCGTCAACCACGGCGCCCGCGCCAGGCGCACGTGCACTTCGAGGCCACGTGAAGTGTCGAAGGCTCGCTGCTGACAGGAGGTCTCGGGAGAGACCCCCGGTGCCATGGGTTGGCCGACTGAGATGAGCGGTAGGTGCACCACCAGCTGTACCCCCCTACTGTGCCAGGCTAGGTGCATGTGGTCTCGGGAGAGACCCCGGTGCCATGGGTTGGCCGACTGAGATGAGCGGTGGATGCATACCAACAACTGTGCCAACTTGCTGCATTTTAGCCGCCCGGGGCTCCGCTCGTTGCGAGCGTCGCTCCTCTGCCCTCCGTTGTTTCTGGAGGGCGACTGCCTTCAACTGCCCAGTAGCAGCGTCCTTCACGGGCCTCCTCCATAAGCCCGTGACACACCACACGTGACGCAGACACCACACGTGACGCAGACACCACACGTGACGCAGACACCACACGTGACGCAGACACCACACGTGGCTCAGACACCACACGTGACGCAGACACCACACGTGACGCAGACACCACACGTGACGCAGACACCACACGTGGCGCAGACACCACACGTGACGCAGACACCACACGTGACGCAGACACCACACGTGACGCAGACACCACACGTGGCGCAGACACCACACGTGACGCAGACACCACACGTGACGCAGACACCACAAGTGGCGCAGACACCACACGTGGCTCAGACACCACACGTGACGCAGACACCACACGTGACGCAGACACCACACGTGACGCAGACACCACACGTGGCGCAGACACCACACGTGGCTCAGACACCACACGTGACGCAGACACCACACGTGGCTCAGACACCACACGTGGCTCAGACACCACACGTGACGCAGACACCACACGTGACACAGACAGATGACGTAGGGGAGGTCCAGGGGATCAGTTCAGATAACCGTCATTGGTGTTGGCCGTGAGTAGGAATCGAACTCGGTTCGCTGGGTTCATAGCGCAGCGTGCTAGCCGCTCCACTACCGCTCCCCACACAAATCAACACACACAAAGACAAAGATCCACCGTATAGCCTAAACAGACTGTTGGGGCAAGTGCTGTTTGCGGGTAGCACCTATGAAGGTCGGCATGGCACACAAGGAGGTGGGTGGCCAGCACCAAGCCCGGCCGCCTTTGTCTCCCCAGTGGCCATATTTACACACCGCACCAGGTACTCATTTGAGGCTGAGTCGACCTAGGGGAGGCCCAGGACCAGTTCATGTAATCGCCATCGGTGTTAGTGGCGGTGAGCAGGAATCGAACCCGGGTGGCCGGGTTTGTAGCGCAGCGTAGCTCTAACCGCAATACAACCGCTCCCCACACACACAGTACAACACACACAATATAACACAGACATACACACAGTACAACAACAACCGCCATTCGTCACTAAGTGGCGGTGACGTCACCACAACGCTTGTGCCAGGCTATGTGCACCTTGAGGCCACGTGAAGTGTCGAACGCCCGCTGGCAGGAGGTCACGATGCAGACCCAGGTGCCACGGGTCGACTGACTGAGACGACTGGCTGATGCACCACCTGTGCCCCCCACTGTGCCAACTTGCTGTGCTTTAGCTACCCGGCGCTCCGCTCGACGTTTTGAGCGTCGCTCCTCCGCCCTCCGTTGTTGTTGGAGGGCGACTGCCTCCAACTGCCCAGTAGCAGCATCCTTCATGAGCCTCCTCCATAGAGGCCAATCTTGATACCGCTGGTACCGGTCATTGCCACCAGCGGTGTCAAGATCGGCCTCACACACACTATGAACTCCTATGACGGAATAAATGTCACAGGCCTTATTCCAGTGGTCCTATAAGTCAAATCCTATCAGTCACCGTGCTGTATAATGAAATACATTATATATGGAGACGAATCAGACATACACTCGTGCATTGTAGACTACACAACGGTAATAACTATAATTGTAATATATTAAATATCATAACTATAAACCTTGTGATAGGTCTTATCTGACACTTGCCATCATTATTGCAATGCATTTGCATGCCACCATGTATAGCAATGTATTCATTACACACCGCACAACTGTAGTAACACACGTAATACGTTATACTTAACTATTATAATAAACTATCATCTATACTGTACCTTGTTGTGGAGATTCTGACACTTGCCATCATGCTTATAATTAATCTGCATGCCACCAGTTCCAGATCAATGCACTACACACCACACAACTGCAGTAACATCTCTAATTCCAACACCATGTGTGTATGTCAATATACAACAACACTATGATAAAGAACTATTTTGAAGATGCTATCTGACACTTGCCATCATTATTACAATGCATTCATTCCACACAACGGTAGTAACAACGATAATTCCAACACCACGTCTCTATAAATATATAATGTATACGTAAATATAAGACGCGAATTGAAGGAATGAACTTGAATCGGCAGGCCTTCCCTTGCTGTAGCGATGCTGTCTGACACTTGCCATCATTATTACAACGCATTTTGCATGTCACCATAGACGTCAAAGCACGACACACCACACAAACGCAGTAACAACTATAATCACAACACCACGTCTCTCTATATATAATGTGTACGTCAATATATGGGGAGAACAACTCAAGTAATGAACTTTACTCGCCAAGTAGTGGAGATGCTTTCTGGCACTTGCCATCGTCATTACAAGGCACGACACGCCACACAGCCGTAGCAACAATCGCAACCCCAAGTAAATATAACGTGTACATGAATACAAGACGACAACAACAACAACCGTAATACACATAGACACAGAGACTTACACATAGACTTACACATCGACTTACACAGACAGAGACTTACACAGGGACACAGACAAATAGACTTACACATAGACTTACACATAGACTTACACAGGGACACATAGACACAGAGACTTACACATAGACACAGAGACTTACACAGAGACCTACACAGAGACACATACCAACCCCAGGTAAATATAACGTGTACATGAATACAAGACGACAACAACCGTGATACACATAGACACAGAGACTTACACAGGGACACATAGACAAATAGACTTACACATAGACCTACACAGAGACACATACCAACCCCAAGTAAATATAACGTGTACATAAATACAAGACCACAACAATAACAACAACCGTGATGGACTTTGAACGGTCGGGCCTGCCTTGTTGTGGAGGTCGCAGTGCGAGCCGAGGTGGTGAGACGCGGCCTTCAGAACGGCCGAGGAGACGTTCACAGCGGGCGCCCGCAGCTCCTCGGCCGAGGGCACCTGCAGCAGGGACATCGCCGCCGTCAGATGCTCGCTGGTGCCGTCTTAATTGTCTCTTAATTGCGTCTTAATTGGCCGTGCGATTGTCAGCTGAGGGGGATCGCCTCAGCAGCCACCAGCCGCAAGGAGCCAGCGAAATCGCCTCAGAGGAAGGTCACCGGGCACAGTGAGGCGCGCCCTCATTGGTCGGCGGCGGGGAGACGGGAGGCGGCTGCGGATTGGCTCGCGTGGTCGCCGGTGGGTGTGTGTGGGGTGGGGGGGGGGTGGAGTTTGAGAAGTAAGGCGAGCGTTGATTGGCTTACACGGATACTTACACAGAGACTTACACAGAGACACATAGAGACTTACACAGAGACACATAGAGACGTACACAGAGACACTTAGAGACTTACACAGAGACACATAGAGACTTACACAGAGACACATAGAGACTTACACAGCGACACATAGAGACGTACACAGAGACACTTAGAGACTTACACAGAGACACATAGAGACTTACACAGAGACACATAGCGACTTACACAGAGACACATAGAGACTTACACAGAGACACATAGAGACGTACACAGAGACACTTAGAGACTTACACAGAGACACATAGAGACTTACACAGAGACACATAGCGACTTACACAGAGACACATAGAGACTTACACAGAGACACATAGAGACTTACACAGAGACACATAGAGACTTACACAGAGACACATAGAGACTTACACAGAGACACATAGAGACTTACACAGAGACACTTAGAGACTTACACAGAGACGCATAGAGACTTACACATAGACGCGTAGAGACTTACACAGAGACACATAGAGACTTACACAGAGACACATAGAGACTTACACAGAGACACTTAGAGACTTACACAGAGACACATAGAGACTTACACAGAGACACTTAGCGACTTACACAGAGACACATAGCGACTTACACAGAGACACATAGAGACTTACACAGAGACACTTAGCGACTTACACAGAGACACATAGCGACTTACACAGAGACACATAGAGACTTACACAGAGACACATAGCGACTTACACAGAGACACTTAGATACTTACACAGAGACACATAGAGACTTACACAGAGACACATAGATACTTACACAGAGACACATAGCGACTTACACAGAGACACATAGAGACTTACAGAGAGACACATAGAGACTTACACAGAGACACTTAGCGACTTACACAGAGACACATAGCGACTTACACAGAGACACATAGAGACTTACACAGAGACACATAGCGACTTACACAGAGACACTTAGATACTTACACAGAGACACATAGAGACTTACACAGAGACACATAGATACTTACACAGAGACACATAGCGACTTACACAGAGACACATAGAGACTTACAGAGAGACACATAGAGACTTACACAGAGACACATAGAGACTTACACAGAGACACATAGAGACTTACACAGAGACACATAGCGACTTACACAGAGACACATAGAGACTTACACAGAGACACATAGCGACTTACACAGAGACACATAGAGACTTACACAGAGACACATAGAGACTTACGCAGAGACACATAGAGACTTACACAGAGACACATAGACTTTTAAGGAGTTTTTTTAAAGTTTTCATTTATTTGGTATAGCCCTGTGAGCCATTCGGCTCTTGAATCGGGTGCAAACGCAACAAACAAAAATACGAACAAGAAAACATCTTAAAGTGACTTTGTGTGACTTTGTGCAAACAGAAAAATCCAGGAAAAAAAACAGCAAAATATTCCTGAAAAAAGCACCGTACACCAACGCTGTGTGCAAGTCAAACAACAACCACAAGATAACTTAGCTTAAGGCCATCAGTCTAACTCCGTACTACAACATACATGGCCAAACCCAAAAAACTTTTCGAAATCACCAAAATAAAGCCATAAAAGCAATGTAACAGTGATCACAGGGACTTTGACCGAATTTTCACAATAAACGACATAAACAACATGTACCATAAAACTAATGCAGCCATAGCTGGCTGCATAAGTCACTCCACAAACAACAGGAGCATCAGTCGGAGTATCACATTTTTCAATGCACCTTTAAGATGAGCACACTAAATAAAAATACAGTTAATACTTTGCAGCGTCATCCGGAGCGAAACAATTTATTTTATTTTAGGCCACTGAATAGCAGTGGCAGCTAGGGGTGTACAACTCCTCTAGAGCAGTTTTGAGTGAATATCTCATAGGTAGCGATTCAAGTTGCAGTTTATTGGCAATAGCATTCCAGACCCTGGGGACATCAATAGCAAAGGCCCTTCCTCCAGTTTTTGTACGGCAATAAGGAATGTGAAGCTGGTAAATGAGCGAAGACCTGAGGTCAAATTTGTTCTTTGAAACAGAGAGGAGATCCAGCAGCAGGTAGTCTGTGGATTTTTTGTAAGTACATCGTGAATAAATAAGATTTGGTGCACAAGCCGTCGAACATTAAGAGATGTTAAGTTTGACCCAATGTAGAGATCACAGTGGTGAGTCCTATATGGGCAGTTCAATGCTTACACATAGACTTACACAGAGACTTACACAGAGACACATAGACTTACACATAGACTTACACAGAGACTTACACATAGACACATAGACTTACACAGAGACATATAGACTTACACAGAGACTTACACAGAGACACATAGACTTGCACATAGACTTACACAGAGACTTACACGTAGACACATATACTTACACAGAGACTTACACATAGACACATAGACTTACACATAGACACATAGACTTACACAGAGGCTTACACAGAGACACATAGACTTACACATAGACTTACACAGAGACTTACACAGAGACACATAGACTTACACATAGACACAGAGACTTACACATAGACCTACACATAGACACATAGACTTACACAGAGACACATAGACACATAGACTTACACATAGACTTGCACAGAGACACATAGACTTACACAGAGACACAAAGACACAGAGACACATAGACACAGAGACTTACACATAGACTTACACAGATACTTACACAGAGACACATAGACTTACACATAGACTTATACATAGACTTATACATAGACTTACACAGAGACACATAGACACATAGACTTACACAGAGACTTACACATAGACCTACACAGAGACACATAGACACAGAGACTTACACATAGACTTACACAGAGACTTACACATGGACACATAGACACATAGACTTATACAGAGACTTACACATAGACTTACACAGAGACACATAGACACAGAGACTTACACATGGACACATAGACACATAGACTTACACATAGACTTACACAGAGACTTACATATAGACACATAGGCTTACACATAGACTTACACATAGACTTACACAGATACTTACACAGAGACACATAGACTTACACAGAGACTTACACAGAGACTTACACAGAGACACATAGACACAGAGACTTACACATAGCCTTACACATAGACTTACACAGAGACTTACACAGAGACTTACACATAGACACATAGACTTATACATAGACTTACACAGAGACTTACACATAGACTTACACATAGATTTATACATAGATTTACACAGAGACTTACACATAGACTTACACATAGACACATAGACTTACACATAAACTTACACATAGACTTACACAGAAATTTACACAGAGACTTACACAGAGACACAGAGACTTACACAGAGACTTACACAGAGACAGAGACTTACACATAGACTTACACATAGACACATAGACTTACACAGAGACTTACACATAGACTTACACATGGACACATAGAGACTTGCACATAGACTTACACATAGACACATAGACTTACACATGGACACATAGAGACTTACACAGAGACACAGAGACTTACACATAGACACAGAGACTTACACATAGACTTACACAGGGACACATAGACACATAGACTTATACATAGGCTTATACATAGACCTCCACAGAGACACATGCCAACCCTATGTGTCCTGACTTTTGGGCCACCCTGTATAACAACAACAACCCCTATGTGTCCTGACTTTTGGGCCACCCTGTATAACAACAACCCCTATGTGTCCTGACTTTTGGGCCACCCTGTATAACAACAACAACAACCCCTATGTGTCCTGACTTTTGGGCCACCCTGCAGATCATTTCCTTTGAATGCCACAGACCCAGTGGCGCTGTGGACGCAGATTTGCGCTCTGTGTCCGCGAGAGGGCAACACAGCAACTTTCACCGCCCTCGGCACCGTTCAAAAAAGTCGCCAGCGTCGTCATTTTACATCAGCCACGCTGGATAACAATCCGTGCAGCGTGTGGGCCACGATCCGATTGTCATCGCTCCATCTCCTGGCGGGTGTGTGGTGGTGGTGGTGTGGTGGGGTGGTTGGGTGGTGGGGGGGCTACGTCCTTCTCAGCTTGCGTGTTTGTGTGTAAACTACTTATCGAATGTATGCGTGAGTACACCACGTGTGTGTGTGTAAGCCACGCTTGTATGCTGTGTGTGTAAGCCATGTGCGCGTGTAAGCCATGTGCCGTGTGCCATGTGTGTGTGTGTGTGCCATGTGTGTGTGTGTGCCATGTGTGTGTGTGTGCCGTGTATGTGCCATGTGTGTGTGTGTGTGTGCCATGTGTGTGTGTGCCATGTGTGTGTGTGCCATGTGTGTGTGTGTGTGTGCCGTGTGTGTGTGTGTGCCGTGTTTGTGTGTGTGTGCCATGTGTGTGTGTGTGCCGTGTGTGTGTGTGCCGTGTGTGTGTGTGTGCTATGTGTGTGTGTGTGTGCCGTGTGTGTGTGTGTGTGCCATGTGTGTGTACCTTGTGCGTGTGTGTGTGTACCTTGTGCGTGTGTGTGTGTACCTTGTGCGTGTGTGTGTGTGCCATGCGTGTGTGTGTACCTTGTGCGTGTGTGTGTGTGTACCTTGTGCGTGTGTGTGTACCATATGCGTGTGTGTGTACCATATGCGTGTGTGTGTACCATATGCGTGTGTGTGTACCATATGCGTGTGTGCCATGTGTGTTCCATGTGTGTGTGTGTGTGCCATGTGTGTTCCATGTGTGTGTGTGTGTACCATGTGTGTTCCATGTGTGTGTGTGTGTACCATGTGTGCCATGCGTGTGTGTGTGTGTGTGCCATGTGCGTGCCGTGTGTGCCATGCGTGTATACTATGCGTGTATGTTATGTATGCTAGCCATGTTTGTGTTTTAGCCATGTGTGTAAGCCATGCGTGCATGCTGTGTGTAAGCCGTGTGTGTGTCAGCTGTGTGTGTAAGCCATGCGTGTAAGCTGTGTGTGTGTCAGCTGTGTGTGTAAGTCATGCGTGTATGTTGTGTGTAAGCCGTGTGTGTGTAAGCTGTGTGTGTAAGCCATGCGTGTAAGCTGTGTGTGTGTCAGCTGTGTGTGTAAGCCATGCGTGTAAGCCGTGTGTGTGTCAGCTGTGTGTGTAAGCCATGCGTGTAAGCTGTGTGTGTCAGCTGTGTGTGTAAGCCATGCGTGTCAGCTGTGTGTGTAAGCCATGCGTGTATGCTGTGTGTAAGCCATGCGTGTATGCTGTGTGTGTGTCAGCTGTGTGTGTAAGCCATGCGTGTAAGCTGTGTGTGTAAGCCATGCGTGTAAGCTGTGTGTGTAAGCCATGCGTGTAAGCTGTGTGTGTGTCAGCTGTGTGTGTAAGCCATGCGTGTGTAAGCTGTGTGTGTGTGTCAGCTGTGTGTGTAAGCCGTGTGTGTGTCAGCTGTGTGTGTGTAAGCCATGCGTGTAAGCTGTGTGTGTGTAAGCCATGCGTGTATGCTGTGTGTGTGTCAGCTGTGTGTGTAAGCCGTGTGTGTGTCAGCTGTGTGTGTAAGCCATGCGTGTAAGCTGTGTGTGTAAGCCATGCGTGTATGCTGTGTGTGTCAGCTGTGTGTGTAAGCCATGCGTGTATGCTGTGTGTGTCAGCTGTGTGTGTAAGCCATGCGTGTAAGCTGTGTGTGTAAGCCATGCGTGTAAGCTGTGTGTGTCAGCTGTGTGTGTAAGCCATGCGTATATGCTGTGTGTGTCAGCTGTGTGTGTAAGCCATGCGTGTATGCTGTGTGTGTCAGCTGTGTGTGTAAGCCATGCGTGTAAGCTGTGTGTGTCAGCTGTGTGTGTAAGCCATGCGTGTATGCTGTGTGTAAGCTGTGTGTGTGTGTGTCAAGCCACGTGAGTGCTGCAGTATGCTATACATGTAAGTTACACGTGTAAGTATGTGCTCATAAGCTTGTGTAATATTACATGCATAATGTATGTGAGCTATTTATAAGTCGCGTGCATAAGCCAGGAAGTGTGTTTGTAAGCTGTGTGTGTGTGTTGTGTATAAGGTGTGTGTGTTGTATAAGGTATGTGTGTCTTGTGTATAAGGTACGTGTGTGTTGTGTATAATCTGTGTGCGTGATGTAGAAGCTGTGTATATGGTGTATGTGCTGTGTATAAGGTGTGTGTTGTGTATAAGGTATGTGTGCTGTGTATAAGGTGTGTGTGTGTGTTGTGTATAAGGTGTGTGTTGTGTATAAGGTGTGTGTGTGTTGTGTATAAGGTGTGTGTGTGTGTTGTGTATAAGGTGTGTGTGTTGTGTATAAGGTGTGTGTGTTGTGTATAAGGTGTGTGTGTGTGTTGTGTATAAGGTGTGTGTGTTGTGTATAAGGTGTGTGTGTGTTGTGTATAAGGTGTGTGTGTTGTGTATAAGGTATGTGTGTGTGTATATATAAGGTGTGTGTGTGGTGTGTATAAGGTGTGTGTGTGGTGTGTATAAGGTGTGTGTGTGTTGTGTATAAAGTGTGTGTGTTATGTATAAGGTGTGTGTGTGTGTTGTGTATAAAGTGTGTGTGTGTTGTGTATAAGGTGTGTGTGTGTTGTGTATAAAGTGTGTGTGTGTGTTGTGTATAAAGTGTGTGTGTGTGTGTTGTGTATAAGGTGTGTGTTGTGTATAAGGTGTGTGTGTTGTGTATAAGGTGTGTGTGTTGTGTATAAGGTGTGTGTGTGTTGTGTATAAGGTGTGTGTGTGTTGTGTATAAGGTGTGTGTTGTGTATAAGGTGTGTGTGTTGTGTATAAGGTGTGTGTGTGTGTTGTGTATAAGGTGTGTGTTGTGTATAAGGTGTGTGTGTGGTGTGTATAAGGTGTGTGTGTGTTGTGTATAAGGTGTGTGTTGTGTATAAGGTGTGTGTTGTGTATAAGGTGTGTGTGTGGTGTGTATAAGGTGTGTGTGTGTGTTGTGTATAAGGTGTGTGTGTGTTGTGTATAAGGTGTGTGTGTTGTGTATAAGGTGTGTGTGTGTTGTGTATAAGGTGTGTGTGTTGTGTATAAGGTGTGTGTGTTGTGTATAAGGTGTGTGTGTTGTGTATAAGCTGTGTGTGTTGTGTATAAGCTGTGTGTGTGTTGTGTATAAGGTGTGTGTGTGTGTTGTGTACAAGGTGTGTGTGTTGTGTATAAGGTGTGTGTGTGTGTTGTGTATAAGGTGTGTGTGTTGTGTATAAGGTGTGTGTGTTGTGTATAAGGTGTGCGTGTGTTGTGTATAAGGTGTGTGTGTTGTGTATAAGCTATGTGTGTGTGTGACGTATAAGCTATGTGTGTGTGTGTGTGCGATGTTTAAGGTATGTGTGTGTGTTGTGTATAAGCTATGTGTATGTGTGTGCGATGTTTAAGGTATGTGTGTGTGTGGTATGTGTTGTACATTCTAGTCGGCAGTGGCAAGTCGGTAGGAGGCTGTGGCTGCTGAACCTGCTCTGCAGAGTTACCACACCGGTCTGACCGGATCCAGACTTGGTGCGGGGTGGGTGGGTGAGTGAAGTGGGTGAGTGGGTGAGTGGGTGGGTGAGTGAGTGAGTGGGTGAGTGGGTGAGTGGGTGGGTGGGTGAGTGGGTGAGTGGGTGGGTGAGTGGGTGAGTGGGTGGGTGGGTGAGTGAATGAGTGAGTGGTTGGGTGGGTGAGTGAGTGGTTGGGTGGGTGAGTGAGTGAGTGGTTGGGTGGGTGAGTGAGTGGTTGGGTGGGTGGGTGAGTGAGTGGTTGGGTGGGTGAGTGAGTGAGTGGTTGGGTGGGTGAGTGAGTGGTTGGGTGGGTGGGTGAGTGAGTGGTTGGGTGGGTGAGTGAGTGGTTGGGTGAGTGAGTGGTTGGGTGAGTGAGTGAGTGGGTGAGTGAGTGGGTGGGTGAGTGAGTGGGTGAGTGGGTGGGTGGGTGAGTGAGTGGGTGAGTGGGTGAGTGAGTGGGTGAGTGGGTGGGTGGGTGAGTGAGTGGTTGGGTGGGTGAGTGAGTGAGTGGTTGGGTGGGTGGGTGAGTGGTTGGGTGGGTGGGTGAGTGAGTGGGTGGGTGGGTTAGTGGGTGAGTCGGGTCGAGGTGAGCCCAGGATGGGTGTTGTTATAGAGGTAGGCGGGGGAGGTGGCGAGCTCACACCGTCTGTGCATGCTCACCTGGGCTCACCTGGGCTCACCTGTACCCACAGGTGAGAGCGCTGCTGCATCTGTCCAGGCGTGTGCCCCAACCTGGGCTCGCTTCAGGTGAGTGCTGTACACGTGTGGGGTGAGGGTGGGGTGAGTGAGTGTGGGGTGAGTGTGCGGTGGGTGAGTGTGGGGTGAGTGTGGGGTGAGAGTGGGGTGAGTGAGTGTAGGGTAAGTGTGGGGTGAGTGAGTGTGGGGTAAGTGTGGGGTGAGTGTGGGGTGAGTGAGTGTGGGGTGGGTGAGGGTGGGGTGAGTGTGGGGTGAGAGTGGGGTGAGAGTGGGGTGAGAGTGGGGTGAGAGTGGGGTGAGAGTGGGGTGAGAGTGGGGTGAGAGTGGGGTGAGAGTGGGGTGAGAGTGGGGTGAGAGTGGGGTGAGAGTGGGGTGAGTGGGGTGAGTGAGAGTGGGGTGAGTGAGAGTGGGGTAAGTGTGGGGTGAGTGAGTGTGGGGTAAGTGTGGGGTGGGTGAGGGTGGGGTGAGTGTGGAGTGAGTGTGGGGTGGGTGAGGGTGGGGTGAGTGTGGGGTGAGTGAGTGTGGGGTGGGTGAGGGTGGGGTGAGTGTGCTGTGGTGCAGCGGTGGGGAGCAGTGGTGCAGCGGTGGTGCAGCGGTGGGAGAGCGGTGGTGCAGCGGTGGGGGGAGTGGTGGGGGAGCGGTGGTGCAGCGGTGGGGGGAGTGGTGGGGGAGCGGTGGTGCAGCGGTGGGGGGAGCGGTGGTGCAGCGGTGGTGCAGTGGTGGGGGAGCGGTGGTGCAGCGGTTGTGTTAGGAGCACTGCGACTCCACAGAACGAGTCCTGGCAGAGAGAGAGAGCCAAGTTCGATTCCCGCACACGGCCACCCACCAGCAGCGATGATGGCAACGATTTGCACCGGCCTCCCCTAGGTCGACTCGACCTGAAATGAGTGAACCTGGTGCTGTGGTGTCACTATCGCCGCGAGGGAGACAAAGGCGGCCGGGCGTGGTTGCTGGTCACCCCATCCCCCCCATCGTGTGCCGCAGCTGCGGCGGCCTTCATGGCTGCTGCTGCTGCTCGCGAACTGCACTTGCCCAAAAAGTTAGTTTAGGCTATACGGGGATCTTTATCTTTGTTTGCGTGTACGCGCGCGTGCGTGTGTGTGTGTACGCGCGCGTGCGTGTGTGTGTGTACGCGCGCGTGCGTGTGTGTGTGTACGCGCGTGTGTGTGTGTACACAGTGTGTGTGTACGTGCGTGTGTGTGTGTGTGCGCACGTGTGTGTGTACGCGTGTGTGTGTGTACGCGTGTGTGTGTACGCGTGTGTGTGTGAACACAGTGTGTGTGTGAACACAGTGTGTGTGTGTACGCGGGTGTGTGTACGTGTGTGTGTGTGTGTACGTGTGTGTACACTGTGTACGTGTGTGTGTGTACGCGTGTGTGTGTACGTGTGTGTACACAGTGTGTACGCGTGTGTGTGTACGCATGTGTGTGTGTGTGTACGCGTGTGTGTGTGTACACTGTGTGTGTACGCGGGTGTGTGTGTACGTGTGTACGTGTGTGTACACAGTGTGTGTGTGTACGTGTGTGTACGCGTGTGTGTGTGTACGTGTGTGTGTGTACGTGTGTGTGTGTGTACGCGTGTGTGTGTACGCGTGTGTGTGTGTGTACGTGTGTACGTTTGTGTGTGTGTACGCGTGTGTGTGTGTACGTGTGTGAGTGTACGTGTGTGTGTGTATATGTGTACACAGTGTATGTGTACGCGTGTGTGTGTACGTGTGTGTATATCTACACAGTGTATGTGTACGTGTGTGTGTACGCGTGTGTGTGTGTACGTATGTGTGTGTACACAGTGTGTGCGTGTACGCGTGTGTGTGTTTGTGTACGTGTGTGTACACAGTGTGTGTGTACACAGTGTGTGTGTACACAGTGTGTGTGTGTGTGTACGTGTGTGTGTGTACGTGTGTGTGTGTACGTGTGTGTGTGCACACGCCCGTGTGTGTGTGTGTGTGTACACGCCCGGGTTCGATTCCCGCTCACGGCCAACACTGGCGACGATTATCTGCACCGGCCTCCCCTAGGTCGACTCGGCCTCGAATCAGTAACCCGGTAGCAGCTGACTGAACAACGCCACTGGGGAGACAAAGGCGGCCGGGCGTCGTTAGGGCGATACGGAGGTGGAGGGGGGGATCGTTAACTTTGACTGTCAATGACGCTGCGCGTGCAACTAGCAAACACAAAGGTTACCCGTGTAGCCCTCACAGACGTGCCGGGGCAAGTGCTCCTAGCGAAGCAGCGCCCAGTGAAGGGCGGAGCGGCACACGTGGGAGGGGGTGGTTCGCCACGCCCGTCCGCCTTTGTCTCCCCTGCGGCGACGTCGCGGTGAGCCTCTTGCACGTGTGCCAGGCCGCTGGTGGTGCGCGCACAGCTCCCGAGGAGCTTCTCCGGCTGGTGAATGACTCTCAGGGGTGGGCTAACCGTTGCGCCACCGCTCCCCACGCACACAAAGATCAAAGATCAAAGATCCCCCATATAGCCTGTAACAGACTGTAGGGGCAAGTGCTGTTAGCGAGCACCTGTGAAGGCCGGAACGGTACACGAGGGGGTGGGTGGCCAGCACCACGCCCGACCGCCTTTGTCTCCCTAGTGGCGATGTTTACTACACACCGCACCAGGTACTCATTTGAGGCTGAGTCGACCTAGGGGAGGCCCGGGACCGGTTCAGATAATCGTCACTGGTGTTGGCCGTGAGCGGGAATCGAACCTGGGTCGCTAGGTTCATAGCGCAGCGTAGCGCTAACCGCTACACTATCGCTCCCCACACACACACGCACACACACGCGCACACACACGCACACACACACGCACACACACGCACACACACGCACACACACGCACGCACACACACACGCACACACACACGCACACACACACACGCACACACACGCACGCACACACACACACACGCACACACACACACACACGCACACACACGCACGCACACACACGCACACACACACACGCACACGCACACACGCACACACACGCACGCACACACACGCACACACGCACGCACACACACGCACACACACACATACGCGTCTATCTGGATGTCTCCGTCTCTGGTATCTATCTTGGATGTATCTGGGATCTATCTGAAATATTGAAACGTCGAAGTTCAATTTTTGTTTTTTTAAACCGTTACTTTCACCCCCTTTTCTCTCTCTTTTTTTTTTAAAAATCGAATTCCGCAAAACGCAAACAATTATCGCCGCCTCTCCGCTTTGGCAACTGTTGGCTGAGCCGCGACCCCAGCACAGCTGACCGGGACGCTCGCTGACCCACGCCGGCGATACGCCGAGCCTCTGTGTACAGACAAAGTTACAATCCTCGCGTGAAGACGCCTCCAAGTCGGCTTCGAGATTTAAAAGCGAGGCGAGAGAGAGCGAGAAGGGAGAGAGAGCGAGAGAGAGAGAGACAGATTAGACGTGTGAGCAAATGAAAGTGAAATACTGAACAACAGATATGAGACACTTTCAGCCGAGGGGATGGCATAGCCATAAGCATGAACATCCACCCATTAAACCGATGTCATTACGAAACTAAAAGCTAAACGCATTTTTTATTTTATTTTACCAAGTAAGGCCCCGCATAGCTGTGTAGCTATTTTTCAGAATCGCCACCTGGCCATCGTACAATAATAGCTCTCACCGAAGTGGCCGATATCAGAGAGAGAGACACGCAGACTCCGAATATACAGCAGCAGCAGCAGCAGGCGTCAGGGTTGGGATCGAACCCACGACCTCCTGTATACCAGGCGAGGGAGTTAACATCTCGCAGGGTTAGCGGAGACATCACCGTCGCCGTACTGATCTTCGTCCAGCAGTGGATAGACCACCGCGACGATTACATCATACTACTTGTTGTTGTTGTTGTTGTTTGTCTTTAGTTTGTTTTTAGTTTGTTGTTGTTGTCTTTAGTTTGTCTTTAGTTTGTTTTTAGTTGGTTGTTTGTCTTTAGTTTGTCTTTAGTTTGTTTTTAGTTTGTTGTTGTTGGTTGTTAGTTTGTTGTCCTTCTCCCTCGCACCTCCAGTCAGCGCGGTCGCCTACGTACGGTGGTGTGAAAGAAGTTCAGCATCTACACTACAGTACAATTACATCTACACTACAGTACAATTACATCTACACTACAGTACAATTACATCTACACTACAGTACAATTACATCTACACTACAGTACAATTACATCTACACTACAGTACAATTACATCTACACTACAGTACAATTACATCTACACTACAGTACAATTACATCTACACTACAGTACAATTACACAATTAACGCTGACCCCCCCCCTCTCACCCCCCCTCTCACCCCCCCCTCTCACCCCCCCTCACCCCCTCCCCTCTCACCCCCCCTCTCACCCCCCCCCCTCTCACCCCCCCCCTCCCCCCCCCCCATGCTCCAGCATGGAGCTGGCGTCCCTGATCTCCGACGCGCTCCCCTGGGCCCCCCCCTCCCTCCCCCCGCTCCTCCCGCTCCTCGCCGGCGCGCTGCCGCTGCTGCCGCTGCTGCCGCCGCTGCTGCTGCTGCTGCTGACGCTGCGCGGGCTGCACCGGCTGCTGTTCGGCCCGCTGGAGGTGGTGCGGGCGATGCACGCCACGGGCTACCTGCCCCCCGAGGCGGGGCTGACGCGGGAGGAGATGGCGCGCAACGTCGCCCGGAGGCGCCAGCGCGGCGACCTGCCGCCCGTCTACCCCAACGGCTGGTACCGGGTCGTCGACTCGAGCCGCGTGCCACCCGGGCAGGTGGTGCCCGCGGTGCTGCTCGGTGAGTTCCGGACGGCCCGGCGTCCCCGGCGGCGCCCCGGTCGTTCTCGCTCCGCTCCGGTCCGCTCCGCCGTTGGCTCAGCCCCTGGCTCACCCTGTCGCTCGCTCGCTCACTCAGCCCCTGGCCCAGCCCCTGGCTCACCCTGTCGCCCGCTCGCCCGCTCGCTCGCTCAGCCCCTGGCTCACCCTGTCGCTCGCTCCGCCGTTAGCTCAGCCCCTGGCTCACCCTGTCGCCCACCCGTCCGCTCGCTCGCTCAGCCCCTGGCTCACCCTGTCGCCTGCCCGCCCGCTCGCTCGCTCCTCGCCCGCTCGCCAACTCGCTGGGAACCAGGCTGAACGGCCAGAGCCGGGCACGGGGGTCGGGGCGGCTGCTGCGGGGGCGACTTCTCAAGGGGGGCCACTCGAAGCGTCGTCGCCGTCACTCCACGGCCGCGAGACCCGTGCCGCCCCCCACTCCCCCCCCCCCCCTGGGAACAGAGCCTTGACCCTCGCGAGGAGGAGTGTCTGTGTGTAGGTGTGTGTAGGTGTGTGTAGGTGTGTGTGTAGGTGTGTGTGTGTAGGTGTGTGTGTGTAGGTGTGTGTAGGTGTGTGTAGGTGTGTGTGTAGGTGTGTGTGTGTAGGTGTGTAGTGGGGAGCGATAGTGTAGCGGTTAGCGCGCTGCGCTATGAACCTGGCGACCCGGGTTCGATTCCCGCTCACGGCCAACACCAGTGACGATTATCTGAACCGGTCCCGGGCCTCCCCTAGGTCGACTCAGCCTCAAATGAGTACCTGGTGCGGTGTGTAAACATCGCCACTAGGGAGACGAAGGCGGTCGGGCGTGGTGCTGGCCACCCACCCCCTCGTGTACCGTTCCGGCCTTCATAGGTGCTCGCTAACAGCACTTGCCCCTACAGTCTGTTACAGGCTATATGGGGGATCTTTGTCTTTGTCTTTGTGTAGGTGTGTGTGTGTAGGTGTGTGTAGGTGTGTAGAGGTCTCACTCCGAATCAGTCGAGCAGCAATATCTTTTCATCGGTTGCGTAACGCTGTGTGGAAGCTACCTGGTCTGTCGCTCCGCACTAAGCTTCAGGTCTTCTCGGCCACGGTCATTCCCTCCCTTCTCTACGCTTGCGAAACGTGGACCCTCCTAATGGAACATCTTCGCTGGTTGGAAACATTTAGGCTGGCCTGCCTACGATCCATCCTGGGTTTAACCAGACTGGATTGTGTGAGGAGCTCACAAATCCTTGAAAGATCTGGGCAGGGTCCCATCGGTGAGCTCCTCCGGCAGGCAAGGCTGCGATGGCTGGGTCATGTAGCCCGCATGCCCAGCCACCGCATGCCGAAACAGCTTTTGTTTGGCCGGATTGGGGGGGCTAAGCGGGCGTGGCACGGGCTAGAGAAGAGATGGAGTGATGTGGTGCGGGAGGACGTGGAGCTGAGTGGACTTGCCGATGGCTGGTACCAGCGGTGTCAAGATCGGCCTCTGTGGAGGAGGCTCGTGAAGGATGCTACTGGGCAGTTGGAGGCAGTCGCCCTCCAACAACAACGGAGGGCGGAGGAGCGACGCTCACAACAACGAGCGGAGCGCCGGGTGGCTAAAGCACAGCAGGTTGGCACAGTAGGGGGCACAGGTGGTGCATCAGCCAGTCATCTCAGTCAGTCGACCCGTGGCACCTGGGTCTGCCCAGTGACCTCCTGCCAGCGGGCGTTCGACACTTCACGTGGCCTCACGGTGCACATAGCCTGGCACAAGCGTCGTGGTGACGTCACCGCCACTTAGTGGCGAATGGCGGTTGTTGTGTAGGTGTGTAGGTGTGTCTGTGTGTAGGTGTGTGTCTGTGTGTAGGTGTGTCTGTGTGTAGGTGTGTGTAGGTGTGTGTAGGTGTGTGTGTAGGTGTGTGTGTGTAGGTGTGTGTGTAGGTGTGTGTGTGTGGGGAGCGGTGGTGCAGCGGTTAGCGCGCTGCACTACCGCTACGAACCTGGCGACCCGGGGTTCGGTTCCCGCTCACGGCCAACACCGGTGGCGATTATCTGAACCGGTCCTGGGCCTCCCCTAGGTCGACTCTGCCTCAAATGAGTACCTGGTGTGGTGTGTCATTATCGCCACTGGGGAAACAAAGGCAGCTGGGCGTGGTGCTGGCCACCCACCCCCTCGTGTGCCGTGCCGACCTTTATAGGTGCTCGCGAACAGCACTTGCCCCTACAGCATGTTAAGGCTACACGGGGGGATCTTTGTCTTTGTTTATGTAATGACGACTTGACACACTTGTCTTGAGATGGTCTCTTTATTGTAGAGACACGTTCACTCGAACTGGCGCAGACTCCAACGCAACAGCCCCGAGTCTCCCGCGCATCTCCCTTATACATGGTCCGAGGCCACGCCCCCCCCTTCCCGAACCTTCTCGCTGATTCTAGACCGCTCGCTCCACCCGCTGACTTCACCATCCTCTTCCGTCACCTGACCACTCTTCTATTCTTGATCATTCTCGTAGCCACCAGTCCACTCGCACTGCAGGCTGGCTCCCCTGTCATTACCTCCCGTAGCCGCCAGTTCATTCATACTGCAGGCTGACTCCCCTGTCATTACCTCCCGTAGCCGCCAGTCCATTCATACTGCAGGCTGACTCCCCTGTCATTACCTCCCGTGGCCACTAGTCCCTTCGCACTGCAGGCTGGCTCCCCTGTCATTACCTCCCGTAGCCGCCAGTCCCTTCTTACTGCAAGCTGACTCCCCTGTCATTACCTCCCGTAGCCGCCAATCCCTTCGCACTGCAGGCTGACTCCCCTGTCATTACCTCCTGTAGCCGCCGGTCCATTCATACTGCAGGCTGACTCCCCTGTCATTACCTCCCGTGGTCACTAGTCCCTTCGCACTGCAGGCTGACTCCCCTGTCATTATTTCCCGTGGCCACTAGTCCATTCGTACTGCAAGCTGACTCCCCTGTCATTACTTCCCGTGGCCACTAGTCCATTCGTACTGTAGGCTGACTCCCCTGTCATTACCTCCCGTAGCCGCCAGTCCATTCATACTGCAGGCTGACTCCCCTGTCATTACTTCCTGTGGCCACTAGTCCCTTTGCACTGTAGGTTGACTCCCCTGTCATTACCTCCCGTGGCCACTAGTCTATTCGTACTGCAAGCTGACTCCCCTGTCATTACTTCCCGTGGCCACTAGTCCATTCGTACTGCAAGCTGACTCCCCTGTCATTACTTCCCATGGCTACTAGTCCATTTGCACTGTAGGCTGACTCCCCTGTCATTACCTCCCGTGGCCACTAGTCTATTCGTACTGCAAGCTGACTCCCCTGTCATTACTTCCCGTGGCCACTAGTCCATTCGTACTGCAAGCTGACTCCCCTGTCATTACCTCCCATGGCTACTAGTCCATTCAGACTGCAGGCTGACTCCCCTGTCATTACTTCCCGTGGCCACTAGTCCCTTTGCACTGTAGGTTGACTCCCCTGTCATTACCTCTCGTGGCCACTAGTCTATTCGCACTATAGGCTGGCTCCCCTGTCATTACTTCCCGTGGCCACTAGTCCATTCGCACTATAGGCTGGCTCCCCTGTCATTCCTTCCCATGGCTACTAGAGCATTCGCACTGTAGGCTGACTCCCCTGTCATTACCTCCCGTGGCCACTAGTCCATTCAGACTGCAGGCTGACTCCCCTGTCATTACCTCCCGTGGCCACTAGTCCCTTCGCACTGCAGGCTGGCTCCCCTGTCATTACCTCCCGTAGCCGCCAGTCCCTTCGCACTGCAGGCTGGCTCCCCTGTCATTACCTCCCGTAGCCGCCAGTTCATTCATACTGCAGGCTGACTCCCCTGTCATTACCTCCCGTAGCCGCCAGTCCATTCATACTGCAGGCTGACTCCCCTGTCATTTCTTCCCGTGGCCACTAGTCCCTTCGCACTGCAGATTGACTCCCCTGTCATTACCTCCCGTAGCCACCAGTTCATTTGTACTGCAAGCTGACTCCCCTGTCATTACCTCCCATAGCCGCCGGTCCATTCATACTGCAGGCTGACTCCCCTGTCATTACTTCCCGTGGCCACTAGTCCCTTTGCACTGTAGGTTGACTCCCCTGTCATTACCTCTCGTGGCCACTGGTCTATTCACACTATAGGCTGGCTCCCCTGTCATTACTTCCCGTGGCCACTAGTCCATTCGCACTATAGGCTGGCTCCCCTGTCATTCCTTCCCATGGCTACTAGTCCATTCGCACTGTAGGCTGACTCCCCTGTCATTACCTCCCATGGCCACTAGTCCACTCACACCGCAAGTTCAACCTGCTGTCATTACATCTATACGAGATGTCATTATTTCCTGCAAACATGGTTGGGGGGCTTAACCCCATCGATGAGCCTTGTGAGGTCGGCAGTGCGGATCGTAGCTCTTCAGGAGGGGCTCTTGCCAAGTGTGGGGGCGGCCCGTGGGCAGATGGGCGATGATGCCACCAGTGATGATGCTGCCGCTGATGATGATGCTGACGATGCTGCTGCCACTGACATGGAGTAATTCCAGCGGAGTGGTTTGCACTACCGGCTTCCTCCTCCCTCCTCCTGCTCATCCTCCTGCTGCTCCTCCTGCTGCTCCTGCTGCTGCTCCTGCTGCTGCTCCTCCTGCTGCTGCTCCTGCTGCTCCTCCCTCCCTCCGGGGAGCCGCAGTCGGCCGCCACGCTTGGCATCCGTCGACGGCTGCGGCGGCACAGAATCCGCGCCGTGCGTGCTCCCTCCGCGTTTCCCCTTCCTCGTTTTGGGAGCCATCGTTGGGGGGCTTGGGGCGAGCGGTGGGGGGGCTTGGGGGGGGGTGGGGGGCTGCGGGGGACTGCGTGAGCAGAGAAGGAAGTGAGGCGAGAGTGGCGGTCGTGCGGGAAAGCATGCGTGACGCAGACGCTGACAGGCGCCCGGCCCCCAGGGCTCGAACCCAGCCTCTCGGCGATGCAGGCCCCGTGACCCTGACGTGGACACTGTCCACACCTCCTGCTTCCTCCTCTTCTTCTTCTTCTTCTGCTT